TAAAAAAAAATAGTTATTTGCTTGTTTAATCTAGAAAAATCTAAAGAAATACTTATAAATCTCTGTAAATATCAAAACCAACTGCTGGTAATAATGATTCAATGTAAATTTAATATGATGTATTAATAATTTAAAATTCTTTAAACTTGTTTTTGGAATTTGCAACAGTAATTTGCAAGTTTAACATCACTTGTATTATTTTTAATTTATGTACAACAACTGACAAATTTCAAAGGGATTTCATTCACACGCAGTTTTCTGTTAAATGATTGAAAATAATACAAAAACTTTATGAAACAGCAAAACCAATTTTTTTCTGCTAAAGCAGGAAGAAATCAACTAAAAGAAAATTTTAAAATTGATTATATTTTCATTTTTGTAAAACTTAAATTTCAGATTAATTGTTAATATTCAATAGAAAAATTACAAATAAAAAGGTAAAAATATCACTGAATATGCAATATTTATAAATGATTATATTTAAATTATTTAATATTATATAGGTTGTGATATTTTAAATAATATTATAAGCATTTCTTTCTAATTTATTTATTTTTATAACAGAAAAGAAACTAAAATATCATTAACCACTTGGAACTGATATAATTCTTTTACTCTTTTTACATTGAAGCAGGAATTTTTAAAAATGTCCTTTTGGAATATTTTAGTTAAAAAAAAAAAAATGGCAAAGTTTAGCATTTGTACCTGAAAAACAAAACATTATCTAAAAAAGACAATTTTTCTCTTGACATCACTATTGTTGTGTACTCCCTTGCCAATTTTTATTATTCTAAAAAGCTATTTTTTTAGAATATTAATAAAACCCAAACATTTGAAACCAGATTAATGCATTTTCTTTTTTCTTACAATTTGACAACAAAAAAATTAAACACTATTTATTTTATTAGATTTTTTATTTACAAGAATGATTTTATATTATTTACATTATTCAGACTATTGTCCTCATCTTTGTCGGCATATTTATTACATTTCAGCCGTTGTACGCTCCGGCCTTCTTCAGGTGGTTGGAATGTCGAACTGAACCCTTTATTTCGCTCACTGGTGTAGACTGTTCTAGTTCCACGTGCCATGTTTAATGGATGTCAGTTATCAGTTATCGCCTGTTAATTCCCCTCTCCAAGTTCTCCACTGCCTTATGTAGAACTTACTGCTTAGTTTAATTTTCTTAATTTTAAATTCATGATCTTGATTTAAATTTTTAACTAGGACTTTTTAACTTGAATTTCTAGGTGTTGACAGACCACTTTATCCACTGTGCCATGTGTCCTTGAGAACACATGGTACAGTGGATAAAGGCATTGGTTAGATCCAGTGACAGGACCCAAAGAGAGTGAGTTCAATACCCGGTTAAGGCAGTGGAGAACTTTTAGAGGGATATTAACAGGAGATAACTGATAACTGACATCCATTAAACATGGCACGTGGAACTAGAACAGTCTACCCCAGTGAGTGAAATAAAGGGTTCAGTTCGACATTCCAACCACCTGAAAAAGGCCGGAGCGTACAACGGCCAAACTGTTGTAATAAATATGGCGACAAAGATGAGGACAATAGTCCGAATAATGTAAATAATGTACATAATACCTCATCTCAGAAATATAGACAGATACTGAAGAATGATTTTATATTTGCAAGATCATAAAATGTGAATCAATTACAATGCAATATTTATCCTTTACCATATTATAAAGAAATAATTATAAAAATAATATTTTTATTTATAAAAATGTCTGAACAAGAAAATTTAAATAAACAACTATACGTAACTATAGAAATTTTTAAAAAATGCAGTTTCTCAGTATTTTTTCATTTGCACTTGCAACCTAAATTCACTAAAAGAATTTGTGATCATCTTGATTTATACTTTTTTTCTTGAGAAATTGACAACAAAAATAACCTTTTGTTGTTAATTCACAAGAAAAAAGAGAATGTATAAATTCAATTTCAGATGTTTGGGTTTTATTAAAATTCTAAAAATAGCTTTCTAAAACAATAAACATTGTTGTATAATAGAATATTAGTGGTGTCTTGACAAAATCTCTCCTTTTCACACATTGTTAAACTTTACTAAAACAATATTTTTATTCTTGATGTTCTTATACACCAGTGGTTTAGAAACTGGTCTGTCAACACCTGGAAGTTCAAGTTAAAAAATCCTGAATTAAAAATTTAAATCGAAATCATGAATTTAAAATTAAGAAAATTAAACTAAGCAATAAGTTCTACATGGAACAGGGAATCCATTGTGAATCAGATGCATTATGATCCAAGCTCGGATTATCCAACTGAGATTTGAACATAACTTTAAAATAAACTTGTTATATACTGAACCAGATATTGTAAATCTTGGAGCAGATAAATAGCATCACCTATTACATGACCCTTGAATAATATAATTGTGGTACACAGATTTATGATATATAGGAGGAGCTGAATACATTTAATTCCTGTATAGCTGCTTGTATTGAGGAATTGGAGAGCTGAGTTTGAATTCCAGTCGAATCCATTACATTCACTTACATGCTAATACTCTTGGGAAAGGTATGAATTCTCTTCTTCTCCCCCCAGCTATGGATAAATAACAGAACAGATCAGGTTCTATAGCCTTAGATGGCAACTGGCCTACCTCAGAAAGAAATGGTAACCTACAGCGGGGAAAAAATCTGCCTCGTCAGTCATGTATCTTATGATACATGATTGCCTAAGCATGTATCACACATGGCACTTAACTGACTGACTGAAGATAAAAATATATAAACATTTTTTTAAAAGGATAGGAGTTGCTTCTCACTATTAATATTGTTCATTAATTATTGTGTAAAAGTTCTACTTTGTGGGTGATAAATTATTTCCCATCCTACAACTCTTTTCCCAGATGAAACACTGCTAGCCTTTTGCCATTATCATTATATTCATGGCAGATATTCGTAAGGACTATATTCCTTGGTTCAGTCCAGATCTTCACAGCTAGGACACACTGTACCACATACAGAGTCAACTCATACTCATTCTCTTCATATACCATTAGTAAAGAGGAAGCTCCAGTTTCTTCCCCCAGAACTGTTGCATTGTAGAACAGATTCCCAATAAGTTACTTCCCTTTTCAAATCTATGGTAAATCATTATCTAGCCTACATATCCTAATTTGATTTTTTTTTACCTCCTGATCTTAGGTTCAGACAACAACCTCATTTAATAACTGAGGTTAATAGCAAAAGGGAACTCCAAAACATCATAAGCTCAAGGTTTTAATTCCAAGTCAGAAAATACATGGGTTATTAATCCAAAGAGTCAAAAATCCACATCACAACTTGAAATTAACAACTACTTTCTTCATCCAGAAAGAGTCAAGCAACCTCCTGAAGTCCAAAGTAGCATCTTTTTACTGGAGGTAAGAGTAGTTTTGATTGGTCAAAGACTGGTAGGGAAGTGCAAACAATTACCATATTTCAAGGTCAACTAAAGTTGACTTGATCTTGATTCTAATTTTCTTTTTTTGACAGCACAGAGAACACAAATTCTTTTTTGGGGTTAGACCTGGTTTTCTCTTATGTTGCCACAAGATGGTATCAACATAAATACAATGAATTATTGTAAATTCTTTGAGTGGTTAAACCCAAGACTGTATTAGAACTAAATTTTCTTTTTTGACAGCACACATAACACAAATTCTTTTCTGAATTCTACCTTAAATTACATATGGACCTTGTATTTGGTAAAGAAATAATAAAAAAAAAAAAACCCCAAACCTGTCAATACAAATAATAGGATTTCACCAAAATATTTCCTTTATAGAAGGATTTTCAAGTTTCAAAACCATTGCTATATAAGTACCAGTTTTGTTTAAGACCAATAAATTTCTCAAGAATTATTTTGTCAGCTCGTTCCAAGTGGTTAAGAATAGTACACAAATCCATGCAAAAAAACTAAGTGTATCAAAAAAATCTAAATTAGGACTAATATTTTGGAATACAGAAATACATCTTTTCATCCCACTTTTGTATAATCACATTGTTAAAATATATGCCTCTGCATGCATTTATATATGTATGTATATACACATATTCATTCATACAGATGACTAAAGTTAATCAATTTTTAAAAATATATATGTGCCTTTAAAATATACACATAATACAAAGATTCTAATATGAAAATTCAATGTTATATTCCTTTCTATTCAGACCAGCATGCACATTTTCGTTTGTTATATGCACAATTTTTTGGTTGTTTTTCCCGCCACCCTTCCTCCAGTGTCAGGTTCCAAAACCCTCCTCAGAAGACCTGGCATAGAGATAAAAACCATCTGGGGGCCTTTGATTAACAAAGAGAGTATACTTCAAAATTCTACCATTTGAGTACAGACAATAGGTTTAAGACTCCAAAAGTACATTACTAGATTATGCAAGAGACATATGGACTAGTGGCATTGGTCAAAATGTATCTAGTTTTCAGGCAGTCTAGAAAAGTCATGTACTTTAGTGGAAGAATTGCAAACACAGTTCAAAGGTAAATAAACTAAAGATAATTAAGTAATACGAGATATCCTCTAAGCATAAAAAAATGAAATGAGAACTATCTACACCTGTTGATTGAATAAAGTGTTTAGTTTAAAATTCCAAGAGGTTTACCAAGAAGAATAGCTGGAGAGTACAATAGTTGGAATATTGCAAGTATAACAGCCAAAATGAGCATGCTGGTCTGAATAGAAAAGCATATAATGAAAATTCCTTATTTAAAAAATTCCAGTATAAATGGGAATTCAAAATAGAATAAAATATGTATGTGTAGGGTTCCATTCCTTTTGATTTCTTAAAGTCCAGCAAATACAGAATGTTCACTGTGAACTTTCTATTAAAATAAAGACATCATATGTGTTTTTTCCTTTAATAGCATGCAAGAATGTACTGAAAAAAATTGAGTAAATTTTTTCTTAAAAAAAAATAAAAATAAAAAAAAAATATGATTGCTGTCATTACCTTGTGACCCACTGTCACCTCCTTCATTGGTTGGAGGTTCCAGGTTGTAACCGTAAGCCATCAGTGTTTTCACTGTCTCACTGGCTGTATCCCTGTTGGCTTTTTTGATGTGCTCATCAACTTTATTGTAAGGAACAAGGTACGGACTTCGTTTGTTGACATTATCCTTTTAATGACAATGAAAAAGAAAGCAAAATGAAAGCAGTTAACTTTTTATGATTAAAATGCTTGAGAGACAGAACTTGTACAAATTGAGCTATTAGTTAAGCATCAAAAACAGGCCTATCAATTTCTAAGCCAACCAAAGGAAAAAAGACAAAATAAAACAAAAAAAGAAAGACCAAGGAAAAAAGGAAAAAAAAAAAAAAAAAAAAAATCAAAAGTGCTCAATACCTCTAGAAATTAGACAAAGACAGAACAGTAGTACTAACAAATGAAACAGAGTTACAGATGCAAAGAGTTTCATGCTAAGTGATTGTCAGATAATTGCTTCTTGTGCCACTTAGAGTAACAATTTGAATCCAAGTCCAGAGTTCTGTTTAATTTCTTTAAACAGATCTTATGAAGAGTCAATACACTCTTAAATATTCCTTTTTTTTTCTACATGCTATGTCTCTTCAGGATGTTGGTAATCATGGCTCTCCACAGTTTCTTGTCCTTTGTAGCTCTTAATCTTGTCTTTTTGTAATCTCTTGTAAACCTGGTTCTGCCATTCATTTATCCAAACTCACTAGGTAGGTTATGCATTGTTTTCCTGTCTCTCTTGCCTTCAACTTATCCTGTGAGTATCAAATTTTCCAAGCTCTCTTTCCTCATTATGTGCCCTAGAAATTTCATCTATCTCTTCTGATGTTGGTTATATCTTTTTCGTTTCCATTTTCTCTAAAACTTTGTTGTTGCTTACATGTTTGATTCATGGTATTCTCAGCATCCTTCTATAGAACCAGTTTTACTCCACCTTATTATTCTTGCTTTTTATCCAGCATTCTGGGTAAATACACTCTTCTTTATTACTTTTAGTTTTATTTACATTGTTTGAAATGCTGTCCTCATCTTTGTTGCTTTATTCACAACGTTTCAGCTGTTGTATGCTTTAGCCTTCTTTAATCAAAAGATTTTAAATAGTGTAAATAATTACAATACCACATCTCAGAAATATAGACAGGTACTTTTAGTTACTAGAAATTTTGTATTCCTATAACTTTTTTCTTTTGCTTGAATGTCCATAGCTAATGTTTCATTAAATAACCAGCACTTCTTGATGATAGCACAATTCTTGTCCCGTTGACCAGCATTAATTTACATGGTACATGTTGAGCATCACTAATCTGGCATCATTGGGACCTGAAGGATGCTAGATAAGTTACTTTGTAAGATTAGTGATGTTCACCAATTTCACAATCATGACAATTACAGTGGGCATCAGCTGCCCATGTGGATATTAAATTGTATTTTTGGAGGTAATCTCCAATTGTTATTTTTAGCATAAGAAAGGAAGACAAAAATTACATAAAATTGAACATTAGATTTAATAAAGAATAAATTGTACACAAACACTAAAAAATTATTAATGCAAAATCTTATAGTTACAGTGTGTGTATGAAACAGTAACTTCAGCAACTAGTTAATGGTACTTGAAAATGTTAAGCATCTGACCATGCATTGTCTTGGGAGTCTGCAGCACAAAAAGTGGCTCTTGGAAGAATCTTCCTTACTAATGGAATATGTAAAAAATGAGAGTGGTGTTCCCTTGTGTACTGGACTGGTGGAACTATAGGAATGTAGCTCATCAAAACATTTTCCATGGATTGATTGAATTTTTTTTTTTTTTTTTTTACATCAACCCTTTGCAGGTTATTTAAAGTCAGAAAATCTTTTTTAGAATATAAGAATCTTTCAGAGATAATTAACCCATAGCTGGGTGGAGGTGAGGTGGATTCATACATTTCCTAAGGGTATTTGCACATAAGTGAATATAATGAACCTGATTGTAATTAAAACTCGATTCTCTGATTTCCAATTCTGAGCTGTTATCCATTATACTACCTAAATTTACAGCACCTGGTATTCCCAAGCAGTCACACATCTAGGTAATGACCAGGCTCAACATTGCTTAACTTTGGTGATCATATAAGAACTGGTATTTCAACATGGCTGTAATCCCCATTTTTCATGGCAACAGTGATAGAGTAACACTAGGCTTGTGACATTGTGGGACTGAGCTTGTAGGATGAATTATGGACTTATTGATGTACTTATATAACTTTTAAGTTTACTTAACATTAAATCTTTAAATGAATCAACCTAAAGGCATTTCTTTAGGGGTGAGGCAAATAAACAAAGATAGAATATTAAATCGATCTACAGGATGTGTCCCTAAAGTCTGGACACATAGGAAATCTCTTTTTTTTTTTTTTTTTTTTTTTTTACATCCACAGTTTAAACATGGTTTTGTTGAAAGAAAAAATTGACTTCTTTTTCTGGGGTATGCTAAAGGAGAAGGTGTACTCAATGAAAATCACAAATGCAACATACTTGACTGAATGCATCAAGAGTGAATATACTAATTTTTTTTTTTTTTTACATTAAGGTTTACTCTGTACAAGGCCCAAGGGACACTCAAGGAAGAGGGTTATGATAAGGGGTAGTTTACATGGATAGAAAGGATAGATAACAGTTGACTCAATTGAACATAGTGATTGGGGAAACATCCTCTTGAGAGTCTGTTCAATAGGGCAGTAGTTCATGGGAAGAAGCTGTTTGAGTGGAACTTACTTTTCACTGACAGAATACAGAGGAAATCTGGGTGGTTTGCTACTATGTAAATGTCATGGTGTAACCAGGAGATGTACTTTGTCCAAACAAATTGACAGCAATGTGTAGCTATTGCATTGAGTTCATGTGAATCTTGCATTACAAATAATGGAAATCATATTGAAGATGTTATTTGTTAATATTCCAACTCAATAAAAAGTTTTTGAAAATATGCATTCTTGCCTGTATGTTCAGACTTTAGGGACACCTTGTAGAATGGTAAAGAAATGCAGTATTAAAAAAATAGTGATAATGTTTTAACAGAAGTTGATTTTTTAATATGTGTGAATACTCTCACTCAACTGAGTCCACTGCAAATTGTGAGACTGTTGTAACCTAGGAAAAGGTTACTGAATAAGAATAACCAAAATGAAGGTTGGAAATGGAAGGATAATATTTATAACAAGAATAACATACAGGATTTGCCAGCAGCGTGTAGTAAGGAATCAACTGCTAGTGGTGAGCTAGAAGTGAAATCAAGGTGAATCCCAATGAATTCCACAGTGAAGATATTCACTAACCACCCCTCATGGTCGAATGTGGCACAAGGCCAAGTTTATTGTGGGGTATCTGAGCCCATAGGCTTGGCCAAAAATTCCCCGTATACCCTGTAGAAATGGTATCGGGTAGCTGTCTACCACCCCAGACAAGACTCTACCCAGAGGCATAGCCTTGTCTGGGGATCCCCTCTGGCCAGAGGCAGAGAGTTTGACAAGCACACCAGGAAGCGAATTCCACAGTGAATTCCCATACAACATATTCCACTGTATTTATAAGGATTAGGACATACCCATTATAATCCATAGATATGATATAACAGAGACATAACATCCTGGGTAAGATGTTAAAATACATCCGCGTCCTGGGTAAGATGTTAAACTACGTCCAGCAGCAAGGCCTCTGATCAGGAGGTTTTGAGGAGCATGGAACCACCTCTTAATTGCTGGTGTTCCCAGGTCCACTCTGTTAGGGCCCCAGCTATGGGCAAATAGTTAACCAGCAATACTTTTTTGAAAATTTTTTTTTACCAGCAATACAATTTTGAAGGAAATATATTACCAGAAACAGATTTTTGACAAAAAATATTACCAGGAATAAAAATTTTTGTCAGCATTAAACAACCCATTGAGGTTGATTTGCCATAAAACAAAATAAACCAAACCAATCTAAACCAAAGAATACATACTCTATTCATACGAATCTATCCTAAAAATGTTGTCAGCATTAAATAACCCATTGAGGTTGATATGCCGTAAAATAAAATAAACCAAACCAATCTAAACCAAAGAATACATTTTCAGTTCATTCGAATCTATCCTAAAAATGTTGTCAGCATTAAATAACCCATTGAGGTTGATATGCCATAAAACAAAATAAACCAAACCAATCTAAACCAAAGAATACATACTCTATTCATATGAATCTATCCTAAAAATGTTGTCAGCATTAAGTAACCTATTGAGGTTGATATGCCATTAAACAAAATAAACCAAACCAAACAGAGACATAACTCTCAACAATATTAAGCATTGCTGCTGTGGTTCCTGAAGCAAGTAGACTTTTATGGAATTAAGTTGCTACCTTTATGCTCAACTGGTTTTGAAATCAGTTATCCTTCTCCTAGACAGTTTGTCAACCAAGGCTAAAGAAAACAAAATGCCCTGTTATTTAACCCTGGTGTGTTCATTTTATATATTAAAAACAACTTATGAACTAGATTCCAGCAACATTCTTAAGAGCTGAAGTGGTATTAGATTCAATAAGGAAAAGATAATTATGCATATAATTTACCTCACAAAGTCCATAGGTCCAACCTTGTTTGATTCGATCTTTTGCCCACACATTGTGTGTATTTTCAGCCAGGAGATCAACAAGCTCCTCCATTTTTTCATTCAAAACTATGGTATTCAAATCCAGGGGACATGGCTTGTAACCATTACTTTGCAAGTAGCTATGGGAAAAACAAAAAGAAAAGAAAAAAAGTAAAAACAATTTTCATAAGTGATAAGTTGGATTATATATAAAAAATGTTTAACAATAAAATGCATACTTGTTTGTAATTTGTTTACATGCTTATATATTTCAATGTTAAGCAGCTCAGTTCTTAGAACCAATAGCCAGACTACTCAGACATATCATTTGATTATAGTGGTGAAGGCTGGTGTAGAACCAACCATGCTTTTTGGAAAAAGCCAAATATTGAGAACAGGTGCACAGTATGCCACAAGGTCCCCAAAATGGCCCAATGCAGGTTCTGAATTCAGAGTTGTCCTTCTCCTTGACTGGTTGCCACTCAAGGCTATAGAACCCAATCTGTCCTGCTATTTGCCCATAGCGGGAGGGAGAAGAGATGGATTCATACCTTTCCAATGTTATTAGCATGTAAGTGAATGTAATGAACTTGACTGGAATTTGAACTCAGCTCTCTGATTTCACAATCTGGGCCACAATCCATTAGTTCACCATGTAAACACACAATATATATATATATATATATATATATATTATATATATATATATATATATATATATATATACACACACACACACACACGTGTTTGAATAAAGATGTGTCATCCTCTGATGAGCTTTTATCAAGGCTAATCTAAGGATTTTATTTTGCAACATGTATTTATAAACACAACTAAAAATATTGTTACGATTTCAAAATTTTTGAATTTAAAAATGCTTATATGTAGATAGATAGTTTTGTATTTAAAAATTTTGAAAAGCTAACAATCTTTTCACTTCTGTTTATAAATACATGTTCCAAAATAAACTCTTGACCTTTGCCTTGATAAAATCCATCAGGACAAAAATATTGGAAAAAAATAGTTTTTCCTTTTGTATTTATTCATATCCAATAAGGTATAAATAAAAATATGTTTTTATTTATATTTTATTCTTAATTTTTTACACATGCACATCTTTTTATATATATATATATATATATATATATATATATAGTACAGATAATAAATCCGTTAGTATATAATCCAAGTGGATCCTAGTAATATAAAATATTAAAACTGATCCACAAGGACAGCTCAATGTATTTATTATACCAGAGCATTAAATAATATTATACAACAAAATCCAAAATGACCTCATATGTGGGGAATAGATCTATTTCAGTTGATGAAACTGTTGGAGTTAGGTCCTCCTTAATTCCCAAATTGTCACTAGGGGTCATTCTCCCTATACTATAAATACTGTGTGACTTCTTACCTTGTTCTCTTTTTCATTTCTTCATTTCAGCGACTAAAATGTAAGCTCTCTTAGAAGATCTGTCTTCCCCATTTGTGGGAGATGCCATGAACATTATACACGCATACATGTACGAACGAACATTCACCAAAGAATGTCCATTGTAAAATTGTTTTGTTTAATACATACATACATATTAGTCTTGTTTGTCTTCTTTATCTTCAGTTGGACCTTTTAATATTCTACCAGGAGTTACACAGGTGTTCCTAAAACAACAACACTCAAACCCACACAGTCCTTCTACAAAACTACGTCAATTTTATTCAACCTAAGTGTACCTGTACCTGTACACCTTGATTGAATTAAACTGACATAATTTTTGTCAGTTAAAATAGATCTATCACCTCCCCCCCCATATGAGGTAATTTTGGATTTTGTTGTATAATACTATATATATATATATATATATGAAAAATTTCTCAGAGTTAACCTGTAGAAAAAGATTATATGTATAAAGATAAAAGACAATAGGAAAACTGTATTATTAGCCAATGCATTTTGTCCAATGTGGACTTTTTCAAGGCAAAAATGAAATAAATTTATTGAAAATATTTCAATAAATTAATGAATTTATTGAAAATATTTCAATAAATTCATTTCATTTTTGCCTTGAAAAAGCCTACATTGGACAAAATGCATTGGCTAATAATACAGTTTTCCTATTATCTTTTACTTATATGAATTTGAACAATAATTCCTCAAACATGATACCAAATTACTTGTCAGAAAGGAAGAGTAAGTTTTTTAATTTCCTTAACAAAGGCCTCCTATTAGTCCTTCCAAGATCAATTATAAAATAGCCAACTTATGCAGTAAAAGTTTTTCATCTGTTGATTTATAGCTTCAACTAAAGTCTTTACATTGTTTTCCCACTAAGAGTATCATTATTAATTAATTATACTAATTATACTAGGATTATCATTATTGTCTGTATGATCTTTGAAAACTTCTTCTGAAGGTCACAATGAAAAATATTGTGGTTGTAGTCTTGATGGTAAGACAGCAAAAACAAAGTAATTTGTGAATGGCGTCATGATAAAAACTACCAACCAAGAGTAATTTTGTGGTTGTCAGTCAATGTGTCAATAAAATTTGTATCTGAAAAACTGAAACCCAAATAGATTGTATATGTATAGGTTATCTCACTTGGCATTGTAAAAAAAAAAAAAAAAATCTTTTGATGGCACTCCTTAAGCCTATAAAAAGGCCATGCATTTTTCGCCATAGCCTTTTTTTCTCTTTTACAGTTTCAGACTATAAGATGTAGTTACATGTGGGGCACATTCATTTTCATGGTTTTCTCTCTTGACATTTTGTACTTACTCATACATGTTTGTTACACACACAAACAAGCACTTTCTTATTAAAGCTAATTTCATGTTTTTTCCCTTTTTGTTACATATAATTCCTTTTATTAATACATTGTCACTATGTGTACATAATATTATATATGTGTGCATATTATTATATTGTTTAAAATCTGATATATTTATGGGGGAAGAGGACTTAATATTGGAAATAGAGCAGATGTTTCTAAAGATATATATATATATATATATATATATATATATATATATATTAGGAACTGATGAAAGATTCTCAGCTCAGCCCACTTCCCAAATCCTGATGAAGAATTTTGCAGAGGAATCACTTCTTGGTTAGGTTGAGGAATTTTCCTGCAGCTTATTGTATATGTATGCATAGATATATAAATCTTTTTAAAAGAAGTTTTCTCTATATATTTCTTCAAGTAAATATTGTGCTGCAGATTCTTAGTCCTCTGAAATAAAACCCTATAATTATTTTAAGGCTCTTAAATAAAATCCTATAATTATTAAATCTTGAATAATTATAGGATTTTATTTAAGAGCACTAAGAATCTTCAGCCACCAATATTTATCTGAAGAAGGTATATATAAGTGTATATACATTTATACATCAATATATGCATAGAAATCTACATGTACAAGTTATAATTGACCAAATGGACACAGGCCTAAATTGTAGAGATTTCTAATAACTTCTTGGCCTGTCCCATTTCTAAGATACTGACCAAATAACCAAACATCAATAATTTCTTCTTTTTAAACAGTTTGTTATGCTGAAATCTCTTCAGCACTTCTTGTGTTGTTATATATATATATATATATATATATATATATAGATAGATAGTTGTGTATTCAGGCAGCAATCTCTTTGTAATACATGTTTCATTAAAACATAAATGAAAAGGTATTTCTGTTAAGATTTTTATTGTATTTTTCCTGTGTATGAACAAGAGATATTTTTGTGGACTTAGTGACTGTAAAAATTTTTGAAATGTTTGTTCCAAGCACTTTCAGATAATCCATTACCCAGTTTTAATGATCTTGGTTGTGCTATTGTAAATGTGTAAATTATGTGTAATTTGATAAAAGTTAGACATATTTTTAATTTACAAATACTGCTAGTAGATTGTGGCCATGTTCATATATATATATATATATATATATATAGGCTGTCCCAAAAAATTTGACCTCATTTTTCAGGGCAATAATTTTAGCAATTCTTATTGAAATAACCTCAAATTTTCATAGAATGTATAGAAACAGATCAAGGTTTTATATTTAATGTTTTATTTTTGTTATCTCAATGACAATCTACCAGAGAGGTGGATTGGGTCTGGTGGAGATAAAAACAGTTTTCTGATGAAATGGCTGCTGCGGTTACTGGTCTTGTCCCCATGTGATTTATTTTTATGGGAATAGATGAAAGGACTGGTTTATGTCATCCCTATTCCTGCTAGCATTGATGAACTCAAGCAGAGAATCACTTCCACAGTGGATAATGTTACCGGAGTCATGCTACAGCGTGTTTGGCAAGAGCTTAACTACCAACTTGACATGTGGCGTGTCACAGGTGGTGTACATATTGAACACTTATTAAACTGGTCCATTATAAACTTAAGATATTCAATATCTAAACTATTCAATTTCATTGAACTACACTGAGTAGTTTTCAAGATAATTGGTTTCAAAATGTTAAATGTTTTGGGACACACTGTGTGTGTGTGTGTGTGTATATATATATATATATATATATATATATATAGTTAAGTTACGAAAAACTTGGTAATCCGTATGGGTAGTACCAAGGAGGATGAAATCCTGAGAACTCAATGTAAATTCAGAGCTAATAATTTAAAGAAAAACAGGCCACTTTAAGGCTCCATTGTAATAGTTTATTTCACCAGAGACCTTTTAAAGGACACTGGATCATCAGACATCACTTCCAAAAGGTGAAACGAAAATTTTTTTTTTTTTTCATTTTACCTTTTGGAAGTGATGTCTGATGATACATCGTCCTTTAAAAGGTCTCTGGTGAAATAAACTATTACAATTGAGTCTTAAAGTGATCTGTTTTTCTTTAAATATATATATATATATATATATATATATATATATATATATATTAGAGAGAGAGAGAGAGAGAGAGAGAAATGTATGACAAATGGAAAAAGTCTTCTGACATGTTTCCATTCTTTAAGACTTCATTAGACCGAAACATGTAACAAGAAACTTTTCCACTTTGTCATACATTTTTCCCCAATATAGTTCTTGATTATATTACAGTAAAGCAGTCAACCCTTGTTTACTTAGGTGAATTGGGATTCAGAACTGTAATGGTCTATTGCCTAAATCAGCTTTCAAACATGGCTCTAAGAAGTTGCATCGTCATTGCAAGAGCAACACCTTAATGAAAAACATTGACCTGCTGGCTAAACTGTGAAGGTAGTTGGAATGGTTTTCCAATGTGACTGGTGAAGTGCCTCTCCCCAAACTACCTGTGCAAAGCAGTCATCAGCCAGTTGCCAGCCTTGGCATAGGAGCTGTGTCTCAGAAGTCAGTGCCTTTACCCAGTGGGCAGATGAACTTCTGAGAGAAGGGATGGGGTAATCTCAACATCTCTGATGCAAATGGAACTGACATGCCATTGCACTACTATTCTGCTTTGCATGTCACCATAAACCACAATTGGGAAATGAAGGTAATTGGTGAATATAATGGTGCAATATGCGCTAACTGAATAAATGATGATGATGAAGGTTTCTGATTTTTTCAGAGAGTTCCTATGAAAAATTATTGTTTAGCATTTTGTGGATAGATACAAATGAATAGAAAACATTTAACTTACTAGGAACCAAGTTTGACCATTTTTAGTCGGTTGGATTCTTTCTTATGCGGAATGGTGATGTGGTAGCCAAGTGCCAACAATGTTCTGAAATGAAAAACAAGAAAAATTTAACATTTGTATTTTAGAAAAAAACAAAACAAAAAAGAAATTTCCATGTGTGTAAATTTTAATATTTTAATTCAGTGGCAGACATAAAAAAATATTTCAATGATTTCAAAATAATTTTAATTATTACCAAATAATTTTCAAAATATTCAATAAAATTATTATCTGATGTTTTAGAATTTAAAAAAAAAATTACTTTTTTTTTTTTCAGAGATATTAGTTGGACCATTTTCCTCTCATTCATTTTGTATCATCTTTACCTGAATTCACTTTTTGTGGTCGTTAGATTTTTAAAGTTTGGTTGATTTTGGTTAGCAGCATATCAACACCTTTATGGATTATTTTAATGCTGAAGTCTAAATCTAAATAATTTTTAATACAATTTTATGGCTTCAAGTACAGATAAAATGTATTGTTGGTCATTGTGCTATAAAATGTATTGTTGCTAATTCTACTATAAAATATATGGTTAGTATATCTTAATATAAAATGTATTGTTAGTCATTTTGCTATAAACTGTATTGTTAGTCATTTTGCATTAAAATATATTGTTGGTAGTTCTACTATAAAATGTATAATGACGAGGCAGATTTTGTTTCCCCACAGTAGGTTGCCATTTCTTTCTGCAGTAGACTAGTTGCCATCCAAGGCTATAGAACCCAGTCTGTCCGGCTATTTACCCATAGCAGGTGGGGGGGGGAGAAGAAGAGGATTCATACCTTTCCCAAGGGTATTAGCACATAAGTGAATGTAATGGATTTGACTGGAATTTGAACTTGGCCCCTCTGATTCCTCAAACCAAGCTGCTATCCATTAGTTCTATTATAAAATGTATGGATGGTATATCTTAATATAAAATGTATTGTTGGTCACATGTATATTTGGTAGTTCTACTATAAAATGTATATTTGGTATATCTTAATATAAAATGCATTGTTGCTTATTCTACTATAAAATATGTATTTTTGGTCTTTTTTTTTATATAAAAATGTATTGTTGGTAATTTTAATATAAAAATGTATTTTTATACTTTCATAGTGCATTTTTTGTGTTTAGGGGTTCATTATTTTCCCATAGCTTAGAGTAACAGGGTCAGGGTGTACCTGGGAACAACAGCAATTCAGGGATGATTTCAGGTGTTGTCATATAACAAAATCACCAGTCAATTTCAATTTCCAGAAAAAGTGTTTTTTTGCTTTTCTTGTTCAGATGTGGTATTCCAAAGAAATTACAGATTGTTTTTTCATATTAAGTCAATGCTGGTTTCAGCAACTCATAATAATACTAATGGTAATATTAGCTGTTTCCTTATAAGGAAACATTTAGCATTCATTGACCAAACAATTATTACTACTGTCAGTTGAAATTTATAATATCTTTCTGTCAAAGTAATTTTTCTAGCAAATAGCTTTTTAAAGTTCAGTAGCTGTTATTTCTCTTTCCTAAATTAATGGGGGTTTCATTCCTAACCTTGAAGTAGTGAGGAATGTTAACATTTTGATTATGTAATTATTTTCTTTTTGAGTTAAATGTGATATCAATTTTAGCTGTTACTGTTGTTGAAAATCCTCAAGCAATGCCATTTGTTATTTGGTACATTTCTGTTTGTGATTCCGTACCACCTGTCTACACGGTTTGAAGAAGTGTGGTCATTACCAAGACCCATAGGCTTGACTCTCTCAAAACCATTTTTAACCATTGATCTTAAAAACTGATTGTATACAGCTGACAGTTTGGATATTTCTAAATGGGTTTTGGCACTATGTGTGACATCTGTATGAAGGTCTCGATCTGATGAGGATATTTAAAGAAATCTGCTGGGAAGGGGAATTCTCTGTATTTTGGTGGGATTTAAAGTGAATTTATTCTTGGTGTATGGATCAGTTGTAACAAATTTAGTATAGGAGGTAAGGAAATTGAACAAAAAATAGGCTACACTAGAGATAGTTTTGCTTGACATCACATATTGCTATAAAACCACAACATTGACCTGATTATGTTCTTAAATAGCAGCTTAAGATCAATGGCTTTAAGAGAGTCAAGCTTATGGGACTTGGTGAAAACCACACTTCTTTGAACCTTGTAGATTGGTGCTACAGAATCAAAGACAGAAATGAATAATAAATATAGTAAAAGATTTTCTGCATTTAATTATGACCACTTTTGGGACCTGAAATTAATTTATCCAAAACTGGTTTCATCTATATTCAACCAGAAGAGGAAGACAAATATTTAACTGTTGACCTTTATTTAAGTTTGTGTGGAACCCATATCTGCTCCAAAGTTCTCTGAATGAATGACCAAACAGATTGTAGGTGGGGGGGGGGAATTCTTTTTGTCAGGCTGAATGTTTTTAGCACTCCATCAGAAACAAAAGTTTGCAAAAATTGTCACTGAGATTTTTAAAATCAATTTATGTTTTTTTTTTCATCTACACCCTAAAAGTCAAGATTATGGCCACATCATGTTGAAACACTGGTTCCAGTATCATCACCAAAGTTAAGCAATGTTGAGCCTGTTCAGTGCCTATATGGGAGATTGCTTAAGAATACCAGGTGCTATAAAGTTGGATGGTTTATTATTCTATAGAATTTAGTTGTTAAATACAAGTTTATTTTCATTAGTTTTACTTCAAAATAAAGCATATACATTTACTATTTCTATAATATAATTCCTAACCTTATCTATTAGTAAAAAATAAAATAAGCTTTTTTTTTCATTGAATGATTATAGGGGTCAACCAAAAAAAAAAAAATTAAGAGTAAAAGTGGTCCACAGGTAAATAAAGGTTGAGAACAATTGTTCTCAGTGCTGCATGAAAATGGAACTGGTGAAATGAGCTTGAATTCAATTTACACTAAAGTCTTTAGAAAAAGCATGAATCCACTATTTTCTGATCTGTTATAGATCTAGTACTCTCTGTTCTAATTCCCTTAACTGTTAGTTTTTCACTCAAAATATTTCCAGGAAAAAATAAATAATCAACTCACCTTAAGGTTTCAAACGCCAAAGTGATATCATATTTCTTTTCAGAAATTGGTAGTTGTTCGAAAGTACAAAGACAAGGGTGCTTTTTCCTGGTATCATCTCGGACCTAGAAGAAGAAAAAAATGTTCTATTTGTTTCTTAGGCAAGATATTATTGGCTAATGTGACATTTGTAAATTTTACAAGCAATTGAATTCTACAATTACTAGTTGGTAGAATAAGTCTCATCTTGTAAGTTTAATATGAAAGGTCTGGAAAGCCAATCTAAGTAATTTGGATTTTACAAGTCAATCAGAAGTACCACTAGATTATTTGTTTCATATAAGATAAAAAAATAAAACTGAGATGAGAATCTACAAGTGACAAAACCTAAAAATCTAAGCTTTTTTGCATAGCTAGAAAAGTTTTCTTTTTCAACATATAGCTAGAAAAAGTTATCTTTTTCGTCATATAGATAAAAAAACAAATCTTCTTTCTTCTTGTAAATATTGTGTCCCTTAAGGACACTATCTTTCCTGAATCCTGCTCTATCACTCATTTACATAAGCTTGATAGATAGGTTATGTTGTTTTCCCTTGTCTTGACATCAATCTGTTCTGTGAGTATCAAATTTTCCAAGCTCTCTTCATTATATGCTCTAGAAATTTCTAAGTATATGTCTTTTTGCTTCTATTTTCTCTAAAACTTCCTCATTGCTCACATATTCAGTCCATGGTATTCTTCGTATCCTTCTGTAGAACCCCATTTCTGCTGCCTCTTCATCTGTGAGGAGATTGCCCAACATTCACTGCCATATAGAAGACTGATATTATATAACAGTTCAGTACTCTCTTCTTTGTTTCTAATGAAATTTTTCTAATTCTTAATACTTTGCTTAGTTTTTGGAAGGCATCTTTCGCTATCCCAATGCACCCTCATATTTCAGTATTGCACTTTCTATCCTCAGATATTTGTTTTTGTGAAGAAGCTGGATTCTCCAACCAAATTAATTACTTAACATTTTCCATATTTTATTCATATATATTTTTTTTTACAAAAGATTAGCAGTGCTAAATTAAGCACATTTAGAGCATATGAACCGATTTATTGTCAACAGAAATTTTAGCAGTAGTATTAACACCGCTTTCTTTGCTTGCTGACTACTAAAAAATTATACACATTCATAAAACAACGTAAATATGTTAAACTTTTCTTATGTAAAAATATCTTGTTTCTTCTATCATATTAACACAATTGATTCACTTGTAAAGAAAGAAAAGAAATATTGTGAATTTGTTTTGCATTGATCTTTGTAATTCATTTCTTTCAATCTGAAAGAAAAATACTCCATAATAGAATTTATTTAATTTTGTAGAGCCTGTGTTTGAAGGTTGTTTATTTCATCATTTTCACATGCCTAAACCCTCACAAATATATATTTTCTGCGCCATGAGCCTGAATCTGAGTTTTATGCATGATGCAACTGTCATATGCAGATTGTAAATCTTAAATATTGATATTTAAATGTCAAACACTGTTGTATTACCACCAGCACTACTAAAAATAAATATATATTTATATACATACATCTATATAAGACATTTTTTATGTTTATACATTCTTTTTATAGATACAAATATTTAAGTAAATGCTCTGTTTATAATAAACATTATTAACAACATTTACCAGTCATTTAAGAGCATTTACTTAAATATTTGTATCTATAAAAAGAACGTATAAACATAAAAAATGTCTTAAATAATTGTCGGACTTTGTCCATTTCATAATATATATATATATATATATTTTTTTTTTAAGCGTTTCACCCCAAGCAAGGCAGGAAGCCACTAGGACACAAGGGGTTACAGAAGATTTGGAGCAAGATCAGATAGGAGTGATAGAAGAAAGGATGAGAAGGATAGTGGATAGATCAAGGCAACTGGAGATGTCAATTGACATTACATTTGAATAGTTGGATATATATATATATATATATATATATATACACACACACACATTTTTATTATTTGTGTATGTAAGTTAAAAGCTTAAAATATAAAAGAAACTGAGTTATTGAGGTCAAATTTGTGAGAGCTTAAACATAGTATAAATAATAAATGTAATTATTAATGCAATATCAAAATCCACAACTAAGAATTTCTTCTGAGTATCAAAATAATATATCAAAACTGCAACTCAGAGACTTGATATGTTGTGTATTTTCATATTACAGTATTTTTATATATATATATATTTTATATATATATATATATATATATATATATAAAGAGAGATAAAGAAATATTCAACTTACTTCTCCATATGTCCATCCCTGATCGACTTTGTTCATTGACCATAACTCATGAATATTTTCTGCCAATTTATCACGTACATTTTCAATGTAAGCAGGGAGTTGAACCTGAAAAGATATCCAAAAACAAATAATTGGATAATTAATTCTTGCTATTGTATCCATGACTTAAAAAATGATGGTAATTGTTAGAAATTTTTAATAGATGCAATGAAAAACAGTCTTGAAACAATGTATTGAGATTCAATAAAGTGAAGACAAAGAATTTACAACTAAAATAGAAGCAAATGAACTGTTTAATTAATCTATTCACTTTATATATTTTTTTTAGACATTCAATGGTATTTATGAGTAAGTGATTACTCCTGGTATTATATAGATCAATTTTTGCTAGCTATCTTTTCATGTTAAAAATATTATGTTTAATATAACAGTGAAATGGAAATATCTCTCAGAAGAAAAAGACTAGCAACAAAAATGACAAAGATGATGACAAAGCCTATTTCAAGATCACATTGAAGCAAGACAATCAATAGACAAAGGTATCTGAGTGCCTCACACGAAAAGCCTGAACAAATAAGATTGTAAACTAAGAAACAGAGGAGTAAAGGAACTGGTTAGTTAAATTGCTCATTTTGCTCAGGAAGTAATTTGGTCTAAATGCTGATAAATATTTTATTTGTATAGATTACTAAAATGATGAAAAGGAAGTAATCACTGATAAATTTACTAACTTAAGTTGATTTACCACCTTTCTATAGATGAGGTAGGAAATATATAAATATACATTGATAATTATTATATGGTTTGATTGTTTCTGGTTAAAAAATGGGTTTACATAGCTGTGTTGCATTCATTTTCCTCTTAAATTAATTGCTGGTCATGATATGGGCTCAGGTGCTGCAATGTCATTTAGAGTTTAATTTTAAATATTATTTCAAATTCAATAATATTTCATTAGAAAACTAGAATGAAAACTCATTGCTATTAGTCTTTGAAGTGTGTACAGGCTGTCCATAAAGTTTGTGTGTACTTTAAAAAAATTATAACTTTATTTGTGTTTGAGATAGAAATAATTTGTAAAAAGGATTAGAAAGAAGTAAATTTATATTTTTTAAGGTTTTATTGAAATTTTATTTAAGTTTCCACATGTCCTCCATCATTAGCAATACAAAGGGTAATACATTTTGCAGTTCATAGAAAAACATTTGCCAACTGATTTACTGTAATGCCTTAAATCACATCAGTTATTTTAGCTATACTTAAAACTAGGTACATTAAACTTTATAACATTTTTTACAGATTATTTCTATCGCAAATATAAATAAAGTTATAAATTTTTTAAAGTGCACACAAACTTTATGGACACCCTGTATAATATTAGAAAAGTGACTTCTTGTCTTAAATATCTGGTAATGATATATGCATTTCATATAGGGGATGAATCACAGATGATGTGATGCTAATTGTAGTTTAGAGGATGAATATTACCTAAGCAAGAATAAAAATAAATAAATAAATAAATAAATACAAAACTCAAATATTCATTTTTGGCCTGTTATTTTGTTATTTTTTTTCAAGTCAAATATCTTCCAAAAATTTATAAAGATGTAGCTTCAGATGAAACCTGAATTTGTATCCTATATTCCAAAAGCTCATCTTTCATAAAGATGGCTTAACTGATTCAACCTAATTCAAAATTCTTAGAAATCTTTGGCAACATGAAATTTAGAGTCTCTCGTATTCTGTTGGTGCTCCTATATTAAAAGATAAAAGAAAAACAACCAGAAAAAGAAACTTAAGCAGTGATTGTTGTAAAAATTAATTCAGGATATAAAAAAGCCTCAAAGCTTGAAAATAATGGCCAAGATGACAAGGATCAAAGTGTTGTGATAAACTATTTTTTTAAGGACAACACTTTTTAATGACTATTGCTGTGGCCTGTTTGAGGCCAGAGAGAAAGACACGGAAAGAAGAAGATAGGTTGAACAGGTGTATTGAAATAACAGAACATATATACAAAATAAGAGTGTTATTAGTCAGCAGATAGAAGTGTCTGTCGGAACTGTCAGTTTACACTGTATCCCAACTGTCTCCTTAGGAAGTCTTGCAGGTTAGTATTTATAAAGGAGGAAGAGTTAATTCTAATGTATATAGGTCGCCATCACTATAAAACTGTCCTTTTCAGGACAACAATATTCACATCTTCTACATGAACATGCAGAGAGATTTTTGGCCTAGTGCCTAGTAACCTTATTTTTGCCAGTGTATTTTCTCTAACAAAGATAAACTTTAATAATATACCTTTTTTTTTTTTTTTTTACTCAAGTCCTTGTTTGTTGTTGTCTTCCATCATTTGATATCTGTTGACAGGCCAATATATCACCTGCACAAATCATATTGCCAATTTTCTTATCTCATTTTTACATCATATTACAGTGTTGTTTTTTGTATCTAAGCTTACAACAACTGATCTTCCCAAGCGGTCACCTATCTAGGTACTGACTAGGTTCAACATTGCTTAACTTGGGTGATTGTACAGGAATTTGATGTAACCATAAGCCTTGAATTTAATCTTTAGAATTCTGTAGGTGAATATTTTCATCAAGTAAAATGTTAGTCCTGTCAATGCAAGTTGAATTTGAATTTCTTGGTTGTGTAGCCATATCCTTCTATGGCAACACCTAAAACAATCTTGACTGAAATTGAGAGCCAGGCTATTGCAATTTGAAATATATAGAACTAATATATAGCATGTTTTGAGGGGATTCCATATACAGTAAAAGGAGAAATAATATTTATAAATGATGCTGAGTGTTTAATGTTAAAATAATATTTGAATTATGAGACAAAGCATTTCCATTATTCACTTTTCTTTATCTTACTGCTGCTTTTTATCATGACTTTATATGTCAAATACGCTGTGTATTAACATAAACAGTGTAACGTTAGAATAAATATATAACTTTTGAGGATACTTGAACCCATATGTTATATGATGGTAGCTTGTTTCATTAACAATGTCTTAAACAATTTAGTCAGAGAATCTTATAGCTGCACTATTTCTACTCACTGGCCATTTAACTAAGCACATATGAACAAATACACTTTTATGAAAATTTCTCATCAGCCAATCATGTGACATCAATTTAATGGATATAAGCATTTAAACATGGTCATGACAAACTTCTGAATTTAATTTCTTGCATTATTATGATTCATTAAGTTTTTATGGCTTATCAACCCATTGCAAATTATTTAAATTCAAAAATATTTTTAGACTGTAAGAATTTTTTTTGAAGATAATAATGCTTTAGTGATACAAGTTTTACTAATTAATCCATAGTTGTGGGGAGAAGTAGTGGATTCATACCTATCCCAAGGGATGTAAGTGAGTATAACAAACCCAATAGGAATTGAAACTTGGCTTCCCAATTAACAATTTCATGCTATTATACATTACACCATCCACACATCCAAACTTACAGCACCTGGTCTTCCAAAGTAGTCACCTATCTAGGTACTGACCAGGTTCAATGTGGCTTAACTTTGGTGATTGTACAGGAACCGGTGTTTCAATGTAATGCCATAAGCCTTGCATTATTATGAGAATGAAAAGGGATTTAAATGACATTGAATATGACACGGTTTTTGTTGCCAGTATGACGCCATTTGTGGTGAAATTGTGATGAGTTTTGTGACAATATTCTCCGAATGTTCATTGCTCACTACATCTATGATGACATCCAAGGTTGAGTTCATTTGCATATCCACCCAACTTGCTATGTGCACAGATTTTTCTCTTTGGCCATGATCACTTTCAACAAAAATGAAGACAATTGTTTTTCAGGACTCTCTGGTTGAAAAGTAGCAACAATGATTTTTCACTTAACCGGCTATCTTTCCCTTTGGCTGAACTGCTATCTCCTAATTTCACTAGCCTCTGGGCTCATTGACTCCCAATTCTTCACTACTGCTCCTTCTGCCACTGGCTGCTGGGTAGCTCTTCTCCTCTGATCACCTATCTATATCTCTCACGGCTGATCCCACTTTTCCCCAACTTTCTGCCTCTCTCTGTTTATATGGATAATTCTGGGGTCCACCCTATCCATTCACTTGTGTTTCCGAAAGATTTGGGACCACCCCAAAGCCACATGGGGTGTCAAATCTTCAAATGACTACTTTTATAACTATCTAAAATCATTTATAAAATTTTTATGTTTCCAAATTCAAAGGCAAACTGGAGACATGATACCTGAAACATTAATCCCTAAGTTCCCACAAGATGGACTGGAGATAAAATTCCTACAAAACTCCAAAACTGAGTGGACTTTAAAGGAAGAAATTTATTTCCTCATCTTCTGAAGATGAGTGAAAAATTATATTGTTACACCAGACAGATGTCAGAATAGTTAAAAAAAAAAAAAAAAAAAAAAAGTGCTGATCTATTAGAATTATCATTGACAACTATTGCTAGAACTTATAGAGAATGGTTAGAAATAGAAAAATATTTCATCGAGTTGCAATTCTATGGGCAAAAATCCATTTTTGATAAAAGAGTTTGAATGAGAATGGTCAGATACAAAAATAACAGTAGCTCAAATAACCACTTGAAAGTATACATAAGAATGTCACAAAATTCACAACATGTCAAACCTTGAAGCAGATGGGCTACAGCACCAGTAGAGTATATTGAGTACTACTCCCAAAACAAAAGAACAAAAAATTGAAGCCATAATTCACAAAGGACAATAGAAGATTGGACAAACATTGTCTAGCTTGAAGAGTCTTGATTTCTGCAGCAATATTTGGATGGTAAGGTCAGAACTTGAAGTAAACACCATGAAAGTATAGAGCCATTCTTGTCTTGTAGATTAGAGTCTTGTATCAATTTTTTTAATAGTTTCATCCCAAGCAAGGTGATAATACCACTAGAAGGAAGGCAAGCGGTTACAGGGAGTGAATGAGAATGAGAAGACTTTAGTGGGAATGATTGAGGAAAAGACAAAAAAGGAACAGGGTTTAAGAAGATAGAAGATGGTGATTGATGTTGCATTTAAGTATTTGAAGATTGTAGTTATCAGGGAAGCAAGAAATCAGAAGGAAGTTTACAGGTGAGAAGTGCAAATAAAGAAACTGCTAGAATAGAACTGATGGTTACATCTAGCTAGTTCAACAGTAAAATGGTGAGACCTAGATATCAATCTAGTAGTATGCTTAAATTCATGTAGTTGGGGAAAAATCTCATCAGAACAGTTGTCATGAAAATATTTGTGGAAAAGACAGAGTGAATTTATATCAAGTCAGTGAGAAAGTGACTGAAGTCGAGAGGCTAGATCAGGATCAGTTACTTTACAGACCCTTTTTTTGAATTTTGTCAAGGATCTCAAGATGTACACCAGATCAGATATGGCAACAGTATTCAATGCATGAACAAATGTTAAGTTTAAGTGTTGAGAAAAACTGTCTGGCATAATGCAGTGAATCAACTTTCCCTGCAGTAGATGTAACAATTGATTTGATATAGTTGCTCCACTTCATGTCAGTGGAAAACATGAGGCCAAGAAGGATACTTATACTAAGCAACAGGAAGAGATGATTAAAATTTCTAGAGTACATAATGAGTAAAGAGGGTTTAGAAAATTTGACACTTACAGGGTATATTGAAGGCAATAGGGACAGAGAAAAGCAGAGCATAGCCTACCTAACAAGATTGTGCAAATGGTTGGTAGAAGAGGGATTAGGAGAGATAGTAAAAAGACAAATTTTACTAAGAGCTACAACTGACTGGAAGTTGTGGAGAATGATGAGTGCACATGTCCTGAAGGGACACAGCACATAGGAAAAGAAAAAAAATGAGCTTGTGTCAATGGTTGGCAGAATAGGAATTAAGAGAGATAGCAAAAAGACTAACTTTGTTAAGAGCTACAACTGACAGGAAGTTGTAGAGAACCATGATTGCCCATGTCCTGAATGGGCACTGCACATGAAAATCATTAATTGAATGGTTATATGTCTTATTTGCTCCACCATTATATACCATTATTTATGATTTCTTTTCTGAAAAAGGCTGTCTCTAATTTTAACAAGAATCTATCCAGAAAAATAGTATGTTGTCTTCTACACACTTCCTCATATTATTTCAGTAAATTTGATGCTGATACATCCATGATAATTTCATGGCTACTTACATGAGAGGTGTCAACTGGATTTGGTACAAATGCATTGAAATCCATAATCTCTGTTGGCCCACTGATTATGTTCTTGTGCTGTTCACCAAAGTAGAAACAGGGCTCAATTTTAAGTTTCTCTCTGGGCAGTAGACTTTCATACACAGGTGAGTGTCCTTCAGGTGGACTGAATTTTAAACGACCATGTTCTCCACCCAGCATGAAACGGACACTGAAAAACAAAACAACAAAAAAAAAATCATTAACAAAAGAAAAGGTGCAAAATTAAAGAAGTGTAATTTAGTTAAATCTGCAACTAAATTCTTGGTTAGTTTTTTTTAAAAATCTTATCACACCTTTTGAGGTTAAATAAACTCTGCGCATTACAGTAAGTGACATGAAAAAAGAATATTTACTTTAACTATCAGAGGTTGTTTGAGCAAAACATTGTAAAAACCTGTTATAACTCCTAGCGGTTATAAAATTATATCTTCCTGAGGCTACTCACTGTGATGTCTGTTAGAAATTTTCCTGACCGATTCCAACAGACTTCCCTGATTAACTTGGAGTTCTTCATTTAAGCTGTCTTGCCTACTTTGTGTATATTACCAGCAGTGTGTTATTTACTCCACAACATCTGCATTTCTGTGATTTTTTTTATTAGTAAATACCTCATTTTATTTCTTTTTAGTAAATACCTCATTTTATTTCTTTTTAGTAAATACCTCATTTTATTTCTTTTTAGTAAATACCTCATTTTATTTCTTTTTAGTAAATACCTCATTTATTTCTTTTTAGTAAATACCTCATTTTATTTCTTTTTAGTAAATATCTCATTTTATTTCTTAGTATTTATTCACTCCTCTTTCAGGTGAGTTTGCCAATGAACTAAACTTTGTATTTCTTTCATTTTGGGTCAACCTCTAGTTTTTCTGTGAGAATTTTTCCTTGCTTTAGTTTTACTGTGTGACTTTTTATGTCCTATTTTTCCACACTTGTAACACTTTGAAGGGATAATTGACTGAAATGTAACCTTCCACATTGGAAACATAGATTAATTTTTCTTTTTCCACATTTTTCTTTAGTTATCTTGGTATTGTGCCTCATATTTAGGATTCTCAGACATTTCCAATATTGTAGTGCTAGTTTTTGATTCTGTTCAAGATTCATTAGAATTCTAGCATGTATTTTTGGCATCTTTTTTTTGCCTTTAATCTTGAATGAAAATTAACTCTTTAAACATATCTGAGGCAGTTTGTTTAACTTGAATCTTTCATACTCTTTATTTACGATTCCAGCATATGGGACAAAATATTTGTCTTCATTTTTTCTCAAATTCATAAACTATTAGTAGTGAAATTTATTACTATCAGTATTGAAACTATTAGTATTAGTACTTAGTACTGAATAACAAGTTTTTCCCACTAAAAATTTTAGTTGGAATATTTATTGTTTCTTCAAAGCAAATTTCTCCCATTTATTTTGGTAGTACAAAATTACAGTATTTTTTATATTCTACTGGTGCTAACTTTCTAAACAAAACTTTTTATTCTTATCTTCAAAGTCGATGCATTCTTTGAAAATTTGCTCATATATTCTAAAATAAGCAGAAAAGGTAATTCCATCATCTGAATTGTATATAAATTTACCACCACATCAAAACTGAAAGAAGTTGGGCATCTTCTGTTTTCTACTAAATTATTTCAACTAAATTTTGCTGTTGTCTCCGGAGTTCCAACAACTGCTGCTGTTGTATTTTTACTACTTAGGCTAATAATTCTTCCACATTTGAAGAATATCTCTATTTATTAATCTTTCTCTTCTCTTTTTTACACAAACCAAAGGAAAAATTAAATCAGCATGGTTCTAATTTCTTGTCACTTATCATGGGTGCCAAAGCAAAACAAAAAGTACCTTTTCCTTGATTGTATGAGCTTTGATCCCTCATTGCCACTGTTATAACTCACTTGTGGTTATAATATTATCTCTTGCTTAGGCTACTTGCTATGATGTCTGTTAGAAATTCTTCTGACTGACTAACAAACTTTTCTAACTCACTTGAAGTTCTTTACTTAAGGCATCTTGCCTAGTTCATTTGTGTTACCAAGGACATGTTATTTACTTCACAACAATACCAAATGTACAGCTGATATGGCTCTGGTGAATCTTTGGTGAGCTTGCTTGGTGCAAGTAGATTAAATATATTGCTCAAATAAAAACAAAAAATCTCTTCATGACACCTCATAGTATAAATGAATTAGAAGAAATCTTACCTAACTCTTGCGGACATGCTGACCACTGGGAAAAACATCCCATCGGTGTTGAAATCTTTGAAGACACCATGGACTTTGTTGCCATTGACAGTGAAAGAGATCTGGGGTACTGTGAGGTCCAAGGCACAGCCAATAATGTGCCCTTTCTCAAGTACTTGGCTCTGATGACGTACCTGTTTACTTCTACCACCTACAAGACAAAAATAAAATAGATAAAAAGCAGTCAAGACAAATTTTTGAAAGTGGTACATTACAAAACTTAAAAAGAATCTATAAAGGGAGGTAACCTTCTTCCAGACATCCAACACATTCTCACTGATGCTTTCTGGGAAAAAATATCTATGTCATTATAACATTTAGTGTAAATCATACTTTTATTGTCATAATTTACACTTAAAATTATGGGAGAAATATGATATATAAACTCTAGTTATCAAACTAGTAGGCATCTGTTTATCTCACAAGATAAATTTAGCGACCTGTTATGTCAAAATTCAGTCCTTTGGTTGTGAGAATGAAGTGACCCAGGGTGCTAGCCTGGGCGATAACATATGGAGGTTGTGTGCTGCCTAGGCTTCAACCATACCAACAATTTCCAAAGGAATACAGGGCATTACATTTGGGGCTGATTTAGCTAAAGGAGTTACTAGAGTTGTCAGTGTTGACATCCAACCATCTTTGAGGATCTACTTTGGATTTTCTCTCTGGATTTACTTCCATAACCTTTTCCATGTTTCAGGGTTTTCCTTTTCCAATACATGTTCTTGAGCTGTTGATTTCCATCTACCTCAAGCAGCTGTTTATGAGGGACCAGTTTTCCATCTTCACCCATTCTCCAACTTGGAGCAGGAATTACTTGTTAAAACCTATTTGAGATACATGCAATGGAAGCATTTTATAGACAGTGGGACCTTTTCCCCAACTATCAAACCTGGAACCTTTGGAACACATATAATGTATGTATATAAACATTTAGAAGCTCCTAAAAATTGATGATTTTTTTTTTTAATATATAAAATGTTAAGTAAACAAAAACACTAGAAAGCAAGAGAAATTACATAAACTGTGCCTCTTACTCTGTAACCCTCTATCTTGAGTGGCTCTCTTGTACAGGGTAACATTTTAAAAAAAGAATATTGGAAACTTTTGAAGAAAGTCCTACATGCCACTAAAACACTTGCTTAATGTAGGTCTTTTATATAAGATAAAAATATCAAACAAAATACACAAGAAAGAAAATAATGAAAATCAAAGAATACACATTTTAGAAATACTAACTTCTTCCAACCGACTTAAAGCAACAGAAAAGTGCTTCTACAGAAGGATGCTGAGAATATCCTGAATTGAATATGCGAGCAACAACAAAGTTTTAGAGAAAATGGAAGCAAAAAGGACACTTAGCATCAGAAAGAGATAGTTGAAATTTCTAGAACACATAATGAGGAAAGAGGACTTGGAAAAACTGATACTCACAAGACATATTGAAGGCAAGGCGACAGAGGAAAACAGCATATAACTTACTTACAGGACAGGTTGAAGGTAAGAGAGAGGAAAGCAATGCACAGTGAGTGGCTGTATGATGAAGCAGAATACGGGTAAGATGGTAAAAAGAAAGATGTTATTAAGAGCTATAAGGGACAGGAAGTTGTGGAGAACTATGATTGCTAATGTCTTGAAGGAACATGGCGCATAGAAAAAGAATATAGTCAAATGGCTCTTACTGATAGAGTAGAATGTTGTTTAACTCTGGTATAGAACCATATTTACCTGTCCATAAGTTGACGCCATCAAATGCATAAGAATATAGGTCATCCCCCACTCCATTCGCACCCCAGTGTTCTCCGCCTCCAGGATAAGGAATGAAACCTTCTGTATTTCCCCAACCAATTCTCAGCACGGGAGTCTGGTGAGTGCACTGTTCAATAAATGCTATCACAACTTCAAAATACCATTTTCTGTACATGGCGGAGCCATCAAGCAAACCAACGTAAATGTTGGGTTTCATGCTAAAGAAAGTAAGAAAAAGAGGAATTTCAGTCATTTGTCTGTGATTATTAACAAAGAGAAAGCCAAACACTGTTGGGACAATTTAAGCATTTCTCTGTAAACTTGCTGAAAAAAGTTCAATGGTCCCAACACTGTTCAGAATGTTAGAACTTTTTCAATAATTTTCGAGTTTTCAATACTATATTAATAAAGGTAGTTAAGCAACAGATATAGTTTCTATGAATTAACATTTCAATTACACTATATCAGATTGTATTATGCAAGTCAATGATCTCACAATAGAATTGGTATTAATCAACCAATTTCTACGATATATTTAAATTAAATATTAATACAAGTTTCTACTAGACGTAAAGTGAAGGATCAGTTTCTGTTGTTATTACGTAATAAATGATAAACCATAAATTTGATATACTGTCTGATTTTGTTATGAAAGTCAATGATTTCACAATAAAATTCGTATTAACGTAATAATTTTAGTAAATTTTTATGATATAATTTAAATGCTAATATATATTTCTACAGGACAGAAAGTGGGGAATCGATTTTCTGTTATTATTAATTGATCCATTATATGCCATATTTTATGATGAAAGTTAATGACTTCACAATAAAATTTGTATTAACTAACCAATGTTGGTACCAATGTTGGTAAAATTTTCAAGATATATACTATTTCTATATACATTATTCATTACCTGGTCACATGATCTACCAGCTTTGTTTGTAAGAGAAGATCTCTTCCTGGAAGCAAATTATCACAGATCAAATTCTGGTTCGTTCGAACAGCGATACCATTACCAACACACAGAGATTTTAATACGTCAAGGACCTGTGGAAGAAAATAAATAAAAAAAATTAAGTATTTTATGTAATTAGTACATATCAACAGTAATTCTCCAGTTGTAAAAGATCCAACATTAAGTAAACGCAATAAGACATAGGCTTTCTAAAATATCAATGATTCTAAAATTTGTTTGGACAAATTGATTTTGTTTTTAATCATTTCAAGTAACCCCAAGTAAAGCAGTAAAGTCACTAAGAGGTTACTGTGTGAAAGAATAAGAAAAAAGGGAAATATTATTTAGGGAGTGATAACAAAAGAAAAAGAGTAATCAAGAAGACAGTAGATAATGATTGTAAATGTATTTAAATCTTTGAAGATCAAAATCGGCTGGAAAGCAGGGAACCAGAAAAGAGTTCCACAAGTGAGAAGTGTGAGAAAAGAAACTGTTAGCATAGAACTTATGGTTCTCTGATGAAATATGGAGGAGAAAAATAATAAATTTCTCCTATTTTTAATATATATATATATATATATGTATGTAGAGAGAGAAAGAGAGACAGACGTTTATAAATCTAACATGTATGTTTTGCTCTTGTTAAAGCTTCATAAGAGAATGAAATACGGAGGAGAAAACGAAATTTCTATTTTTAATATATATATATATATATATATATATATGAGACGTTTATAAGTCTAACATGTTTTGCTTTTTTTTAAAACTTCAGAGAATGAAATATGGAGGAGAAAAATAAAGAAAATTCTGCTATTTTTATGTTGTTTTTCATTATGTAAGCAGACCTCACACGGACCTGTCATGTCAAGCAGTGATCACATGTATAATTCTCGTGTGTATGTATATCATAATTCTAGTTGATCTATGTGGGGTTCGGGTAATTATGTATACTCGTGTGTGTGTTCTTTTTCTCCTTCAAATAGAGCGGTTCAGTACTCTAAATTGTTTCAAATTAGTTTAAAGAACCCATATTAAATCAGAAAATAAACAAATATTCTTTGTTCTTATATCTTTATTCTGTTTTATCAGGTGTCCAAAACTAGAGGTCCAGACTAGACTATATGTAAATCTAGCACTGGCGGTGAGTAATCATATCCAACAAAATTTACTGCTACACAATTTTTCTTCTTGTTTTCATTTCAATATACAAATGCATTTGAATGCAGTGTGTGTCTGTGCTTATTCTGATTTCAAAACAAAGAAAAGCTGCAAAGGAAACACAACTGAATGTTGTGGTAAACAAGAAATATACCTTATGGTCACGTCCATGTTTGTCAATGAGAGAGATGATAGTGACAATGTGTTTTTCCTTGATCATGTTGAGTGCCTCAGGACTGTCAATTAATACACAATGAAGGACATCCAGAACCCCTACAAAGAATTGATAAAAAGAAAAATCAGTAACTTGAGACGACATGCAAACAAGTGTTAAAATTACAAACTTGTGATTTGGGGATCAACATTGATTTTGAGAACATGTGGCTATTAAAATTAAATTGGGTCTATTTATTTCTACACATATTTTAAATTATTTCTTCTAAAGCAGGGGGTGTCCAATTGTTTTTTTTCAAAGAGAGCCAGATATGATGAAGTGAATATGTGTAAGAGCCAACCATTCCTCTTGGCATTCTTTGAACTATTAAAATTAAATGCAAATGAACTATCTTATGAAGATTTTATTGCAAATGGTATATTTTCATTTCTTCATATGGATGACAAATAAATTTAAACATGTCTTATCAAAATCACTCAGCCTGGCATATCTGAAGACCATATAAGATGAAGTAAAATATGTCCAAGAAAAAAGAATTTCCAGGAAGCTATATCTCGGGTTAATCTTAAATATGATATGTTATTGGTAATTAATGTTGTTTGTCAACTTTTAAGTTAAAAACACATGAATAGGAACATAACACCAACATTCATTTTATTAAAAAGTAGAAAACATAGTGACCCAAGTCCAATTGTCCAAATATATTTAGAACTGATTTTGACCAACACAAAACAAATTTAATTCACTAAGATTTTAGAATTTATACATCTCAGATGACCAAAACAAATAACTTGCCTGCACTAATGTGAAGGGTGATACTGAGATCTGGAATGCAGTATGTAGGCTAGGTCTGGTTAAAAAACTTGGCTGGAAAAGACCAAGGTCAGGGTCAAACTGCCAGAGGGTAGCCACACAGTGCTGCTGCTATCTTTTGGTAAAACATGAAATTGCATTTCTTAGGTGTGTACTTTGCATACTCTGACAATACTGGTGAGCTGTAAGTGATACATTCTGTGAGAGAGGATGGGGGCCATATGAAATTTGACCACAGGCTATAATTGGCCCCTGGGATGGACTTTAGACATGCCTGTTTCTAATGGCACAAACTATTTGTATTACTTAACACAATGACTGCCACCCATGAGATAACTTGTGTTTGGATTCTTTTATTATGATGGCGAAAATGTGTAATCTAATTTTTGTGGTCTTGCTATCAAAGCTACAACCATGAGTTTTTTTCATTGTAACACAAATGATTGAAACCAGGCATCTAAGACAGGAATGAAAAATCATACTGGCAATTAAAAACAAACTTATGGGAAAACTTCATTGAAAATATAATGTAAACAAAGCATTTGAAAAACAATAATGGTACCAAATATCCAAACTGGGTTCTTGAATGATGATATTTGAAACAATCAGCAACACAGGTGGTTTATCAGCACAAAAGTACTGTGTTTCAATCTTAAGACTTCAGTTGAAGCTATAAATCAACTCATAATTTTTTTTTACATCTAAGTTGGCTATTATAAAGTGGGTGTTTGAAGTCAGATTTTGTAATTGACCTCCAGCAGTCAAAATGACACATAGGAAGTGGTTTATCATTGTAATGATGTATTGTCATTATGTTACTTTCCACTGCCATCTTGTAAAAGAAGACAAGGCAGACAATGGATGGACTGACAATGTCATTGAAGATCATTCATGGCAACTTAGACATTGGCATACATCTGAGACAAATATTTGATCTGCTATTAAATTCTCCTAAGTCTTATGAAAATCTACACCTGAAAGATTTATAAATAGAAAGATTCATTTCAATGAAAAGTTTTCTTAAAACATTTGTACCTTAATAAGTGACTAATTAAAATGTATTTCTTGCTAGGTCGATGGTCAGCAAAAACAATCAGGTAGAGTTCCATAGTTTTACATGCAGCCAGTGTGGTCATGACAGCATTGGTAAGTGGAGAGCTTCTTAGACTGAAGTTAATGATCAGGGTGAACAGTTCCCTCAGTGAATTGATAGCCAGGTGTTCATTATCAAGGAAAATCTTCACATTGGAAGGATCTCGTCAGGTTATGTTGTGACCCGTGATAAAAATTAGTCGTCGTACTGATGAGGGTAATTTATTTGACTCTATACTTTGTCACTTAATATCAGTCATTGTGTGAGAACAGCACTGGACCACTGATCCAAAACGTGGATCTTACATTCTTATTTGGGATGTCTGAATGAGACTACCTCTTGTATTGAATCTGTAATTTTCATTGTTTGCAAACCCAGGTGCAGCTGGGATGGAACATGTTTGATTGTCAAAGCTGTCACTGATATTGGGCGAATCACAAATCTACCTCCAGCTAGGAGATCATTTGACAGATCAACCCTTCACTTGGCTTCTCTGAAGGACACTAAGTGCAAAGTCTATTCTGCATGATCTAAGGTGAGCAACATACTACACAAGGCCACAAATAAACAGTGTGATCTCTGTGACTGCTGTTCTACAGGCACTCACAAAAAGTATATATATATATATATATATATATTTGGGATTCCTGTGGAGCAGTATATATCAATAAATCTATAGTCATGTGAAGAAAAGGCATTTATTTTACTAAAATATATTTTTTTAACATTCCCTTTTTATTTGTTAATGCAGGGGTAAATATCAAACATTATACATTTAAAATTTCAAACTAATAATATCAGGTTACAGACTTATTGCTTCCTTATTGTATGTGTGGTGTGTCAGTTTATGCAAACTGACATAGGTATAAACATATACAAACTCATATGTATTGGGTTAGCCAGAAAGATTGTTTAGTACATTAAATAAATTTTTCCATTTAACCAAACAAGCTTTGGCAAAATCTTTTATTCATATAAATTCATAGCAGCATTATTCATTCATCAACCTGCTTGGCTTGACTTTCCTTTCTATGGTCTTGTGCGACCATTCAGCTAAATTGGATATTATATAAGGTCAATGTAAGTTTCCATTTTTTTTTTTAAATCTTTTATTCATATAAATTCATAGCATCATTATTCAGTATCAATGTGTTTTTCTTGCTTTCTATGACCTTCAGCAACATTTCAGGTAATTTATACATTTCATAAAGAACAATTTCAGTTTTGATGCTTCAGTATTGATTGATTTGTTTTTTTGTTTTCCTTTACAGCTTAACCTTTTATGGGTTATTTAAAGCTAGAAATATTTTTAGATTCTAAAATATTTTTGAGATAATGATTTACAGATACAAATCTTACTAATTAACCCATAGCTGGTGGGAGAAGATGTGGATTCATATCTTTCCCAAGGGTATTTGCATGTAAATGATAACGAACTTAACTGGAATTAGAACTTGACTTTCTGATTTCTAATTCTGATCTGTTATCCATTATACCACCCACACATCCAGGCTTAACACCTGATATTCCCAAGTGGTCACCCATCTTGGTACTAACCAAGCTTAATGTTGCTTAATTTTGGTGATCGTATGAGAACTAGTGTTACAACATCATGTGTGCATAAATTGGAATCTATAGGAATTTGGTAGGCAAAACACTGGTTAATGTTTTCAAAAATGTTTAAGTTTCCTCTCTAAATGTATATAGAGTGAAACACACGATTGTCTTAAATTGAAATATCTGAAGTAGATGTCATATGTGGAAGTAGTTTCCATCCTAGCTAAATGATTATTTCATATTATCAAATGAAGGACAAATATTGTTATGCAGAAAATCACTATTCAGAAAAGTCTTATTTCTCACTGGTTCATTCAAACAAACCTGTTACTCTCTGTAGTGTTACGTAATTTGTTACATAGTTTATTCCCCTTGAATTCCAGCAAACAGAAAAATCTTTTGTGTTCATTTCATGTTACATTGGAATGATGTTATTCTGGATGCTGTTCCCAGAGAATGACAAATCCAGTTCCCAGGGAATTACATATGCATTGTTGATTGGTCTTGCCTGAATCTACTTTCCAAAATTTGGTCAAATGAACCAAAATTTCTTCTGGAATTTTTTCTTAATTAGTCCAAAAACTTTTCAGCATCCCTTTGTAATAATGGCTACAAAATACAAATACTGGGCGAAGATAGCAAATTCCTGGCGCGAAGACCTGTGGACCTGGAATTCTGTCAGTGATGAATAGCCTTTGTCTAAGTTTTGTTTATAAGACCAAAAAGATGCAGAGGGCTAATTTTGAAGAGTTAACATGGTTTTCATACCCAGATTCACTGGAATGGTCAGCCTACATGTGACAAAATGCTAAGCAATCAAATGGGTTTATGTTCCTCTGAAGATCTTCCTCCCACTACTTCCTAGAATCGATGCTACCATACCTGTCCCTCTTGTATATTAATGCAAACATGAAGAAATTGTTCTTTGTTGATACAGTCTATGAAAACATGTTGGGGTCTGAAGTACTGAAGTCAGTGACAATATAGAATGCAACATAAGATAACAAGAATTGTTCGATGGTATTTATTTTCAACTGAACTAAAAGAACGAACAAATAAAGGTGACTTACCAGTTGATGACTGTTGACTCTCTAGTCTGCTTACTAACCAATCTAACCTGTAAGACTGGGCAAACTGGGCACAATTTGCTCGGTTTCCACGAATCATAGCAGCTGCAAAGTTAAGAATATTGAAAGATTTACAGAAATATGGTAAAATAAGAAAAAAAGCTATCATGAATGACAGAAGGAAAAAAATAAAAAATAGTGCCAACCATATTTTAGTTAGGAATAAAGATGATCTAAACAGCAAATGGATAGAAGATACCCTGATAATCTCTTTGGATAGAGCTTCTCAACCAAAGCGAATTTTCTCTTTTGATGGCGGAGAGTAACTGGAGCTACATATTCATCATCATCAGTACTATGACCAGGTGTGACCAAAAGGTTGATGCATATTATATATTATATTATCATATCATATATATATATAGGTAGAATAAAAAAAAATCTACATACACATAAATTACACAGACGTATAAATATATTTCTTTATTTACAGGTGTATAAATATATTTCTTCCTCAAGTGTTACAAGTACAGTGCTCAATGTTATGAAACAGCACTATAAGTATATATCAGTGAATATGCATAATATCCAATATCAATACTATGACTTGGAGCTTCATGCAATTCTTGCAATCTTCAGGTGCAAATATCAGTTAGGTAACAATCGGTGAGAAAAAGACCACCATGATGCAATTCACTCCACCAGCAATTTGGAAATGGCATGCTGTACTGCTTGGCATTTGCACCAGAAACTCCAATATGAACATTTTGGAGTGTTTGGGTGTTAAACTGAGGACAGTGCAGAGGATTTGGAAAGAGTTGGAATATATATCATGGTTCTTGGAGTAATCACTCTTGATGGCAATGTTATGCCTCCATTCATCTTCCTGCAGGGTCTCAGACTGAACACAGTGGACTTGAGGTAGTGCTGCCCTAAGTCAAGATGGTGGCTGCTGGAAAGCTCTATGTCTGGCAACAGGACTCTGCACCATGTCACACAAGCAGGAGAACCCAGTCATGTCTATTAGATAATTCTGTGACAACATCCCCCTTACATCTGGCCACCTAATTCCCCAGACTTGCAACCCCCTTGGGTTATTATGTGGGAGGGGGAGTTGAGTGAGAGACCAACAAAACTCCTTGTAATAGATGAACTGAAGGCAAGGATTATGGTAGCATTCACCAATTTAAACAAAGAGACTCTCCAGAAGAGTTGTAGGAGATTCTGAAATCATGGGGAGGCCATGGTTGAAGCCAATGGTGATTTTATTGAATAAATTTATGCTTTAATATTTCAAGATATCTTTGTGTAATTTTAGTAAACATATCTCTTAAAATGAGATGTGTTATTTTCATCTTTATGTAATTTAAATGACAATTTATTCATTGTACTATATATATATATATATATATATATATATATATATATATATATATATATATATATATATATATATAAAAGGGTGTTCCAATAACTTGGACCAATTTTAAATGTGAATTAAGTTTAAGCGTCTAATGAATTTTTCTTTTAGATTTGGTGGACATTTGGGCAATATTACTTTTCACGCATAATTGCCATGACTTAAATAACATGATCCAATAGAGAGATAAATAAATTTCCACAAATAACACCGATTTATTTACTGCTGACTTTGATCCAACTTAATGAAACACCCGTATATATAACCCCTCTTAATGAAACACCCTTTATGTATGTATATATATATATATAAGAGAGAGGAGAGAGAAGCAATATTTTAGTAATTTTTCCAATACATTGCTTATATTTGAGTACTTTTTCATTTATTTTGAGGAGTTTTATATACGAAAGAATTGTTTTTAAAATCAATTAAAATTAAAGAATTGTTTTTAAACCATTAAAAGTAAAATATATCTAAAGAAATTTAACAGTAAACAGCATAAGTAAAAACAGATTTATTAGCAATGTATTCTCCTTATATACAAATGAGATATTCCACTGTAAAACCAACAAGAGGCATTTATTATTGTTTTGCCAAATACTTCCTTTTGTTACATAACAATGGAATATCTCATTGCTAAAAAAGGGCTGAAATCTGGCTATGTGACTGAAGTAGCATGAATTATGCTTATTTGTTGGTGCCAAATAATGTTTTTTGTAACCATAACAATGGAATATTTTATTACTAAAGAAAGTATCAAGATCTGGCTATGTGACTGAAGTAACACAATGTGGGTTCACTTTTTGGTGTCAAATAATGCCTTTTGTTATCATAACAGATTATCTTCTTAAAAAGGAAAAGGTAGAGATCAGGCTGAGAAATACAGAAAATCACATTTTGTGTTATTTTACAGAATAGATGTGTCATTTGCTCAAGAGAACAGACAACTTATGATATATATGAATGTTCTAGATTCAGGGGAATAGAAAACAATTTCAAATAGTATGAGTAGAAATTTTAGAATCATCTCCTAGCATACTATAGACACATGGCACAGTGGATAAAGGTGTTGGTTAGATTCAGTGACCGGACCCAAAGAGTGTGAGTTCAATACCCAGTTAAGGCAGTGTAGAACTTGGAGAGGGGAATTAACAGCAGATAACTGATAACTGACATCCATTAAACATGGCACGTGGAACTAGAACAGTCTACCCCAGTGAGCGAAATAAAGGGTTCAGTTCGACATTCCGACCATCTGAAGAAGGCTGGAACGTACAACGGCCGAAATGTAATAAATATGGCGATAAAGATGAGGACAATAGTCCAAATAATGTAAATAGTGTAGAAGATGAGTTAGAACAATATCACCTTGTTTAAAAAAAACAATCTGACTGATATAATGATACATTTAGCAAGAAAAATAATAGCCAAGAATAACCTTGACTAAGATTAATTGAATAATATCCTTTCTATAGAGATCTATAAAATCTTTTCTTTCATATGGATGTCATGCATGGTGCCAAAACCATTCAGAAATATCTAAACAGCTGTATAAAACCACTTTCTAAGATCAATGGTGAAAAATGAATGGATTTGAGTTAATCAATACTGGAAAGAGTGATAACAGCTACTAAACTTGTTTAAAACAATTTTTCAGGAAAATAGGTTTTTCAAGAGAATGTTTTTACAAATTTTAACTGAAAGCAGTACTGGCTGCATGGTCAATGAGAGAAAAATGTTTTGCTATAGGGAAACAGCTATTACCATTACTGTTAGTATTTTTTAATTTTCTTCACAAAGTAGTATGTGATTTTTTTTTTTAAGCAATTTTGGATTTTGACCAGTATTGAGGTAGCTTATGTTATAAAATAAAATAAGACATATTTCGGCTGATTTACAGGCAAATACTCAAGAGCGAGAACCGGATGTGAACGGGACAAAGCCCCATCACAAAATGACCATTATCTTTCTTTACAAATGTTCCTGACACACGTGTTCCGGTCGAAAAATAAAATAATATTTAAAGTGCTCTATTTTTCGTCCAATAAAAATGCTTCCCTCCTAATTATACTCGCTTCGTTTCTCGAGCCTGTTAAGCCATAAAAAAACGCTATAAAAGGGGTCACACGGAAGTTCAACAGGCAGTCCACAGGTGGCCAGCGAACAGACCTGACGGTCAGGCCGAGTGATCAGCAGCAGGGGAGCATCAACCACTGTCAACATGTGTGAACTACTATGAGAGATCAACCAGATCTGAAAGCCACCTTATGAACTTTACCACAAGGTAGCTGTCCCAAACCCACACGTTCCTGTTGAAATAAACCACGTAAATCTATTTCTGCTGTTGTCGTATTTCTTTCTTGCAACCATACGCTTTTCTATAACACTTACTTTTTGTGTAAGAATAATCAAATTACTTAGATTTATACTGGAGTCTAATAAAAATGCAAGCTCTTTTAATGTAACTCAAGTAGAAAAATTGGTAGAGTTCTTGAATACAAAAGAAGATAAACTCCTTGTAAAAATGCTTGATTCCATTGGTGAAGTTGAATTAAAAAGAACATAAACTTGTAATTCCAACAGATAATTTATTGTTAAAACAGATATATTTTGGAAAGTTTTTGCAAGCCTTGATCACTCTTGTGAAATAAATGAAACAGTGACTAAGTTACATTGTATATGTTATAAATTCAAATTAACAGAAAAAAAAAAAATTTGATCAAATTGAGTTCACGAGATATGTGTACGTTGAAGGCATGAGAATTCCTTAAAGAAAGAAATGTCATTTCCAAACCAGAGTAAAAAAAAAAAAAAAAAAATACTCCTAGTTTTTTTTGTATTTTTCGTTGAAGTAGGGAAGTCTTTTTTGTTCTTTTTTAATAAACTCTTTTTGTTAAGTTTTGTGTTTTTCATAAGTATTTTTTTTCTCTTAACTCTCTTAAGTAGCTAACCTGTGTACCCAATGGTTTTTTGGGGATTGGTTAGAATGATTTGCAATGCTCATTTATTTCACATTACAATAACTGTTCCATGTAGTGTTTTTTGATATTTTTCTATGGGAAAACACTTTATTTTAGCTGCTCTTAACCCTGCATTAGTCACCTCGGATATCCGAAAATGGATAGTTCTCTGACATCTACCTCTGATGAAAATTATGCTACACCAACTCATGGAGTGAGGAAAGTAGTAGGAGGAGGGGGCAACAGAAACAAGTTGCCAACTAGGAATTACAAGCACTTTAAAAAATGGGGGGGGCAACAAAACACCCCATGTGATTAACGCAGGGTTAAGCAGCTTACGGTATCCAAAAATTCAGTTTAATGTTTTAAATGCTTATATTTATATATATATATATATATATATATATATATATATATATATATATATATATATATATATAATTATTTCACCCAAAGCAAGGTAAAAATGCCACTAAGATGGAAAAGGCTTACTGGGAGTGAAAGAGAATGAGAAAACTTTAGAAGGAACCAGAAACCCAATATTAAAAAAGGAAACAAAGGATAAACTTCTAATCCTGTTCAAAAGACCAAGGAGGAGTGTGAACTGGGCAATAGGCAAACCTATCTAATCTTATTCTAAAATAATTGTATCAGTAGTTTAGTTGTTTAAAATTTAGTTCAAATTGAGTATGGTTGCTTAAAAATGAGTTGCTTATAAAAATAAAAATAAATTATGTATTGAGATGAATTAAACATTGTAAAAAGGTGCACCTACCAAGTAACAAGTATAGATAACTTGAAATGTCGTCCCATTTTTCTGCTGCTTCCTCTCCAGCATAGTGAGCAAAATGCCTTCGGCTTTTGTATTGAATAAACTTGTCGATTGTTTCCAGAACTAGAGCAATCATACCCTGGAGGTAAAATAAAACAAAAAATAGATAAACATTAATAAATCAAACCAGTGACTAGTACCAAACATTAAAACTATTTTTTTATACATGCAGTCAGTTATGTGCCATGTGAGATACACACTTAGGTGATCATATATCTTTCAATACATGATTGACAAGGCAGATTTTTTTTCCGCAGTAGCCTGCCACTTCTTTCTGTGGTAGACCAGTTGCCATCCAAGGTTATAGAACCCAATCTGTCCTGCTATTTACCTATAGCTGGGGAAGAAGAAGAGGATTAATACCTTTCCCAAGGGTATTAGCAAGTAAGTGAATGTAATGGATTCAACTGTAATTCAAACTCAGCTCTCCAATTCCTCAATCCGAGCTGCTATCCATCACTCCACCATGCTCTTAATACATTATGCATTTAATAATATACACAGATTATAATGCTTTTTAATAATAATTATGTAATCTGAAATTTTTTGATAAAGCATTTGGCAAACTTGCACCTTTATGCCTGCAAAAAAAAAATGCATGTTAAAATATTTTTTTCCATGACAACGCTATTATTTTAACTACTTCAGCAAGGTTTATTGTTTTAAAAAAATGATGATTAGAATTGTAATAAAACTTAAACATATAAATTTATACATTTTTTGTTCTTGAGAATTTACATAAAAAATATTAAACATTATTTATTTGTGTTGTAGCATACCTACAGACGATAATAGGTATGTTCCCATTCAAATAAATACAGTAGTAAATACTGTATGTTGGTCTGCAGTCGAAGATTCATTGTGGAATTCACTTGACTCACTTCTAGCAGTTGACTACTTCTACATGCCACTGCTGAATCTTATATATGTTGTTCATGTCCTAAGTATTATCGTTCATTACCAAACTTCATGCGATTATTCTATTCAGTAACCTTCCTTAGGTTACAACAATTAGATTGTTTATTTACAAGAATAATTTTAGATTTACAACATTCTAAAATCTAATACAATTCTATTAAAACAAATGTATTGCAATATTTATCAGTTATCAATTTATGAAAAAATAAATATGAAAATTTTTTATTTATAAATTTATAAACATTTACTAAATTATTAAAATATGTGAACTTTGAGAAAATCCTTATTATTTACCATTTTATAAAGTTTGAATTGACAGGCAATTAGCTGATATTTTGCTAACCATTCCCATAAACAATCTAATAGCGTAGGTGGAAGGAGAAGAGATGGACTCATACCATTCCCAAGGATATTTGTATGCAAATGACAAACCTGAGGAGACAGTTAATTTAAATCAAAACTGAACAGAGACAGTTAATTTAAATGTTTCCAAATAAATATTATTTCTCTTGAAACACATACTAAAAAGTACCACATTTCCTATGTATAGTGAAATTATAGACAAAAATATATTAATCATGTTTTAAATATGTCTCTTTGTAATTGAATGTATATGATACATGCTGAATAAAAAAAAGAAAAACATTACCTCTTCTTGGAATAAATCTTGTCGATTCCTCAAAGCCTTTAGTTTGCTTTGTCGTTCTTCATGCTCTTAAAAAGATAAAACAAAAAAAAAAAAATGAAAATTGGGAATGAATTGAATTTATTTCCCACTGTGCAAATGACTGGCAAAAATGGTTAAGTTAAAAAAGGAAATTCAAGGAAATAAATTTAAATTTGGATATTTTTAATGTACCATATATACTCGCAGATAAGTTGCACTTTTTTTACCAAACATTTCACAAAATATTAGGGGTGTGACCTATCCGTGCAGCATAAATGTAAAACAACACTACCTTGTCATCATGATTTCTGAGAAATCCCTGAAGAAATGATTATTAAGTCCTTCAAAAAATATGGCCTCTCAAATGCCATGGATAGAAATAAAGATGACATATTTGAGGATTTACTTGCTTCAAGCACGAAGAAGGCTGAGAATGATGGTTATATCAAAAGTGATTAGAAGTTGAATGACTACTATGAAATGGATAATGATAAAAACCTATTAACTGATGAACAAATGAGAATGATATTTGATATCGATGATCTGAAGAAGAATTCTTAGGATTCAGTTCTGAATGAATTTTAAAACTGTAACTTGATATATAGATAAACACTTTTTTTCTAAATGTACCATAACATTTTTTTCTGTAGCTATTTCTTTTTTTTTTATTGAATTGACTCAATATAAAAATAATATGAGGTAAATATAAAAATATTAAATATTTTTGTTTTTTATTGAATTGACTCAATATAAAAAAATATGAGGTAAATATAAAAATACTAAATATTTTTTTTATTGAATTGACTCAATATAAAAATATTATGAGGTAAATTTAAAAATATTAAATTTTTTTTTTATTGAGTTGACTCATAAAAATAATGAGGTAAATATAAAAATATTAAATGTTTCTTTTTTATTGAATTGACTCAATATAAAAAATAATATGAGGTAAATATAAAAATATTAAATATTTTTTGTTTATTTATTGAATTGACTCAATATAAAAAAAATAATATGAGGTAAATATAAAAAATTAAATATTTTTATTTATTTATTGAATTGACTCAATATAAAAATAATATGAGTTAAATATAAAAATATTAAATGTTTTTTTTTTATTGAGTTGATTCAATATAAAAATAATATGAGGTAAATATAAAAATACCAATACAACAGTTCCTTCCTTTTGTTTACATGATAATTGACCAAATCTATTTTAACTGCAAAAGTGTATTGTAAGTTTTGAAATAAAGGTAGAAATAAACGTAGATATCTGATAATTCTTCTGTTTAAAAAGGGCTGTGTAACTCCACAGATTATAGTGTGACCTATCTGTGAGTCAACAGTAAATCAATTATTAAGCCATGAAGTAGGAGGGCGACCTATCCATGAGTATATATGGTACATGTAAAGAAATGTGGTCCCTATTTTTCTTCCCTGTACTGCTTCACAAGCTAATGGTATTTATTTAGAAAGTTTTCTACATACTAATTGTGGAATGACAAGTGAAAGATTGGTTACTATTTCAACATGTTTGTTTTGCATAGTGGTATATAATTTTATTTATTTTTCTTGTCTATGTGCAATGCACAATGAAATTAGACAGCAGTCCCCAGGTGCACCAACACACACACACACACAAAAATAATCACGCACACAAATGAATTAAAAGTAATCAAATTGTCAGTGTTCATTTTATGCAGGGTCCAAAGATAAAAATTTGCCAACAAGATTTGATTGAGATGTGTGCTGTCTTTCATTGTGAATTAGAAATGTCTTTCTGGGTAACATCTATAACCCTTTGGGGCAGGGGGTCTCTTGTTTACTGTAGAGTAGTTAGCATACCAAACAGTGATGCTGTATGCGCGGCACACTGTCAATAGAGATCATCAGGAGCTTCCTTTGTAAATTATTTTTTCTGAGAATTCTCAGTAAATAGAGTCACTACTGTGCCTTCTTGACTAACCTGATGGTATATGCTTGTCTAATAGAGTTTGTTTGCCATGCATGTGCCCAGAAACTTAATTTTATCCACCCTATCCTTACAAACCCTGCTGATAACCAAAAAGACAGGTGTTGCAGTTAAATAAAAGCTGACACCTAAGTACTTTGTCCTAGAACTAAAATGCTTCCCTGAGGATAACAATTCAAACAAGTGTTACCCAGATGCATTCTGTCTGTCATTAATTTTTTTTGTTATGTTGCAACAAAGAGAATTAGTAACGTTTTCCAAGGAGAGCATAGCGAGCAGTCAATTATTTTCTTGAGAACATTTATAACTCTTTGGGAGAGGCTCTTGTCCATTGCTAAGCAGCTAACATACCAAACAATGATGTGGTATGCCAGTAAACTCACAATAGAGCAGCAGTAATAATTATTCATATGTATATGTGTGTTATCAATCAAAAAACAGGTGAGTGATTAGATTTACCTTCATCCTCCCCAGGTTGAGCAAAATACTCGATTAGATCCTCTAGACTTTTCAGGACCTCTTCCAGAGTAATTCTGGCCCAGGCATTACTTGTTCTTCCTTCAGTCTTAAGGGAGTCCAATGCCCTAAAATAAGAACCAATAAAAGTCATTAAATCATCAACATAATACAAAATAAAAAATCAAATAGCAAATGTTTGACATTTGTGATATTGAACTTAGGAATTAATAAAAAATTTCTTTTCTTAAAGTTTAAAATGCTCAAGAGCCACTCAAGATAGAGGGCGGCTACTGAATGAGATGAATGGTATAAATACAAAAGGAGATAGAAGGAAGTAAAAATTATGAGGATAAGGAGGATAGATAATGACTGACTCTTGGATTGAAGTTGCTAAGATTGTAGTTTTTCAGGGAAGTATTCACATGGGAATATATTCCACAGATAGCAGTTCTTTGGAAAAAGTTGAGTGGAACTTCCTTCTTAGAGATGGAATACAGAGGAAATGAGAGTGATTTGATTTTGTGGATATAGCATGAAAAATCCAAGGTATAAAAGACTGAACTAAAGAGTATAGCTCATCATTTGCTGCAGCACCAATCAAAGTGAGGATTGAGTTAATTGCAATGGTTTGAGAGAGACTAGCTTGTTAGCCATTGCTCTACAGATAGCTACCTTTCTCTAAACAAACTTATCTTTACTTCCCTTTGAAAAGTAAAAAAAAAAAAAATGTTCTTGAGCTGTACTTAGCTAAGTCATTGACAATTTGTGTAAGTGCATTAACACATCTGGTTTGATGATAGTTGAACATTTATTAGGCAGCCATTAATTTGTACAGTCCTACAACCAAGATATGTTCTTGGGACTGAGCAAAGTTTACTTTGATTTTCACCTTAAGGTTTAGAGTCAATTTATATTAAGTCCTACTAGCCATCTCTCTGTAAACAGGAATGGTTGTTAGGCTTAAGTGTAATCAGCCTTTGATGTTTATATATTTATTAACATCTGCTTCAAAATTTCATTGCCAATGGTAGATTTCACACTGGTTCCTCTTTCAATATATAAAATTAGCATTTTAACTTGAGATTATTACTGCTATGTGTTCTTTCACAATAAGATGAAGTTAAATATTAAACACAATAAAAAAAGAAGTTGAAAGATAAACAGGATAAATGGAAAGAGTAAAGGAAGATATTAGAAGCAGAACAAAGGTAGAAAAAAGTAAAGAATAAAAGCATGACATGATTGAACCCAGCTGTGATTGGAACACCTGCATGGTAAATAATTTTATCTGATTTTTAAGTGTCTTGTCCTTTTTATGACTAGCAGCAAAATCTACAAAGTAAGATCTTCAAAGTAACCACCCACTTGACCAAAAAGGAATAAATAAATAGATGAATAAAAAATTTTAGGGAAAAGTGCCACTTGGCCAGAAGTTAGGTAGTTCCGGTCACAGGATTTTATTAGTATAGTCACAGAATGGGAAATGTGTTTGAATGCTGCTTATTGGTGAGATACAGATGATCCATTGATAAAAATTCCAGACTATTTCTGAGAGAGTAGTTTGAAACCACCCATGTGCAATTTGTGGAAAATGGACAGAATGGTGGTAGGGTAGAAGCCTTGCTAGTCAAAGAAAACTTATTCATTAGTCTGTCATCACAGAAGTTGTCGCAGTTTTCATCTACCTACCTTTTCCCAGACCATGCAAATGAATTCCTGGATAAACAGTCAAATACATTTAAAAGCATTAATATCTGTATACTGATAAATTTGAACTTTTTTTTCTCCAATTTGATGGTGGGAGTAGAGGTTGTTCATCAGAATTGCAAGCTGCGTGTTGTGGTGTATAGATAAGCAGAAAGGTGATAGAAGACTGTGTTCTTGCTGGTTGAAGGGAAATGATGGTCTGTTAGTCTGTCATGACAAAAACTGTCCCAAGTGTCACCTACCTACCCACCTGCCAAACTAAATGACTAAATTTATGGGAAATGGGATTAATGCTTTTCATTTCTCATCATGGAATTTATTTTCCCCTTTCATCTCCTTGTGAACATATAATGAGCCTTTCCCAAGTTTTGTGCACGCTAAAGTGAACAAGAATCAAGACAATGTGAGGTGATTTGTGCATTCAGTGAAAGATAGAGAGAGGGTCCCCGTTGTTTGTGAAGAAAATAAAAGTAAGACAGAAAAAACAAGGGATTAATAAAAACAAAAAAAAAACAAAGTCACTAAAATGGACAAAGAGATAAAAGGTACTCACTTGTTGAATCTATGGAAGAGGGACTGACATTTCCTGATAACTCTAGCAGACCGAGACTCTTCTTCTTGGGCTCTGCTCAATGTGAAAGCATCATCCATGTGTCCTTCTTGTAACAGCACGGCCTAAAAAAAAAAAAAAAAAAAATAAAAATAAAAAGCAATTGGTTACAACTTGAAGGTGGGAAAATTTAGAAACCAGCTGAAAAAAAAAAAAAAAAAAAAAAAAAAAAAAAAAAAAAAAAGTAAATGATACAGGGATTGAACTCCTGATGACCAAGTAACTAAATCCACTTCATTTTTATCCATGAAACCACTAACAATCAGATCTAAAAACTTACAAAGACAATAGAATGATAGTCTCAGTGTTTTGCCAGAGAAGAAGAAGGAGAGAGAAGAAGAAGGAGAGAGAGAGAAAAAAAAAAGGCATTACTGGCATTAAAAGAACCCATATTCCACCCGTTTTGGTTTATAACTTTCTTTTTCATTCTTTTTCCATTTCTTTTGGACAATCCTAAAGGATGCTGGTGACGATTCCATTCATGAAATGACGTGTATGCAAGTGGATTTCGTTTTTTTTTTTTTTTTAAGGGTTGCAAAGATTTAGCTGCAAGGCCATTCTCACAACATCACTGCTCAGATTTAGCTGCAAGGTGATTCATGCCCATCGTCTCAACATCACTGCTCAGATTTAGATGCAAGGTGATTCATGCCCATCGTCTCAAAATCACTGCTCAGATTTAGATGCAAGGTCATACTCTCATATTAATTGAACACTTTTTTATGGTTTATTTAAAACCAAGGTATATTCTGAACTGTTACAATAATTCCTTTTTTGTGAGTGAAATGACATTAATAATATTTTAAGAATGACTGATTTTTACAGATAAAAGCCCTACTATTTAATCCATAGCTGAAGGGAGGAGAGATGGATTCATAGTTTTCCCAATTGTATTTGCATGTAAGTGAATGTAACAAAACTGTCTTTGAACAGGTACATATTTTTCCTAAAAAGAATAATCCTTTCGGTGTATCTATTTGAAACTCAAATGTACATATGTTGCATATGAAGTTAGAAAAGGACTACTACATCATTAGGACATTATAATTTGAAATCTTGAAGTACAGAGTACAGACCTTTTTCTCTTCGACTCTTCCAATTCCTCTCTTCTTGGTCTCATAGGTCATGTATGATAACCAGAGACCAGATGCGCTGTGCTGGATAAAGGTCATTGAGTCGCCATATTTGATATCTGCTTTTCCCATACCCTCATCCTCTCGGCCTTCACTTTGCTTCTTCTCGTCCTGTAAGGAGAGAAAAAAATTAAATTCAACAAATGATAATCTAATTGAAACAACATAGTAAATGAAAGATCAAAACAATGACACTTAACCTTTAAGAGAATATGTATTAAATCTTTCAGCATTTTGTTTTTGATAAAATATTTTATTTATATAAATTCATAGTCTTATTATAAAATCAAAGAATTTTCTCTGGCTTTTATGCCATCTTTCTGTTACATTGTGTAATAAGTTGTATTAGGCTGATAAAAAAATTTTCCAGCATTTTTAATGAAATATTTTATTCATATAATTTCATAGCCTCATTATTCAACTATCCAAGCATTTTTCTTGACGTTTCATAAATTTATGTTACATTTCAGCTAAATTTTGTATTTCATAATATGAACCTGATGTTAAAATTTCTCATAAGTTTTATTAAATATTTTATTCATATAATTTCATAGCCTTATTATTCAGTCATCCAACTATTTTTCTTGGCTTTTTATTAATTAATATCATTTTTATGCTAAATTCTGTATTACTATTTGTTCTGGTCAACACTGAATCCACTTAATGAAATTAATTATATTTTCTTAAAGACAGCAAGAACAGCTCTTTGCCAAGAAAAATTATATTCTGAGAGGCTGGAATTATGAAATTAGTTGAAAAATTAGAGAAGAAAATGAAGACAGTTAATGTTAGTAAAAAAAAAAACAAAATGAATTTACTTTAGTCATCAAAAGAAGAAAAGTGGTCAGCTCTTCTGTGGCGTCATTTCTATGGACTGTAACCACCTGGTTGTCACTGTGGATAGCCAAATACCTCCCAGATGTGATGTGACGGATACGGCACTGTGAACCCCAGCCCAAGAATCCTCCGGCCCACCTGGTATGTAAAATAATGATACATATTTAGACAGAATAAAAATAATCCACGGGTTTATTTTTTCAGGGTTTTTTTTTTTCTCTACAAAAAATCTGGGACGGTATCATCAATATCAATAAATGTTGTAGAGTGGTTTCACAGTGGAGGCTTGTATTTCACTAAGTCGGTCCTAAAAAGGTTCGGCGTACAAAACGTTAGGAACTTGTTATAATAGTTAATGATGCAGCAATCTAGTTGTGGTGGTTGATACTTTAATGTCCGACATCGACTGACTCACCAACTCTCTGAGCAACTTCTACTACTTATTATATGTGGGAGAGTCTATTAACTATAGAATAGGTGTGTTCCAGTATAACAATAACAGAATTTTTATGGAACATTCTAAATAACAGTATTAAGTGAGGAACATAAGATTAGCAATTTCAAAATTGGGTAAGGAAAAAAATGAATGGTGAATGTGTTGTTGTATGATAATGACTTTTTTATTTCTTAGAAATTTCTTTCCAATATTAGGGTGTTTTTTCCAAGCTGCAGCATCTTGTAAGCTAGAAAATATGGTTTATGTCAGTGATGAGATTAGCTTCTATTTATTAAATACTATTAGGTTGGTGCAAAAATAATGACGTAATAATGTCGTTTTTTGACGTATTTTTTAACGTCAAAAAACGACATTATTACGTCATTATTTTTGCACCAACCTAATATAAGCTAGCAAAAATGGAAATATTGTTAATGTCTTAATATAATTTTAAATACTTACTTTGTCCTGATATGTTCCAGTCTCCACAAGGACCTGGCATGACTGCAAACTGCTCCAGTTTCAAACATCACAGCACTGAAAAAAAAAAAAGAAGCTAAATGGAAACTTTATTTAACATTGATTTTTGTTTCTTGTCATTTACAATAAATAAATTCTACTAAAAAGGATGTGAAAATGCTCATAACTTAGTGTTCATAGGTACAGTATATAACAGATAGTAAGAGTCACAAAGTACAAACCAATCAAGCTTGGAGGAGATCGGGATAGTATGTGCTGACCTTGTATATATTTATATAGTGTGTTACACAAGAAATGCCCTTTTTTATTTATTAACTTTTATTGAACACAATTACAGTAGTTTTAAAAAAAAATTTAAGTTGTCACTTCAAAACAATATGATTTGTTATGATTAACTATTTAACATGTTCAAAATGGTTCCACTTTATGTTTAATACAATGCTGAACCCTATCAACAACACTTTTACAAACTAGTTTGATTTCAGAAAATCTATCAAAAAATTGCTTGATTTAATTCAGGAATTGTTTTTGGTTTGAGCCTAAAAACAAGATCATTTAGTACACCCTATTAGAAAAAGTTTGGTGATTGTGATGGCCACACAATTGCTCCATGTCATCCTATCCACCTCAATTAAGATTTAACCATTCCCAAAAAGGGATTACTTTTTTTTGCCCTTTCTCTCTTTCTCTCTCTCTCTCTCTATATATATATATATGCCTAATTTATTTAAAATATGGTACAAAATAAAGTATTGGATAGAAAGAACCAATCAATAAAACAAACACATATCATGAAAAGCCAGGTTTAGAAACAGGTTTTCATGTTTTTAGAGTCCTATGACATTTGATGTCATCAGGAAAAAACAACACTGATAAAACTTCCTAGTAGTGTAAAGGTGTTTGAGATATACATAAAATTCAGTTTTGGATAAGCTTCCTTATCCGTTATGATAAAACAATCAGTTACTATAATGAGGAAATTGTTTGTAGGGACTCAAAGTTAAAAATTTCAAGTTCCAGTAAAAAAAAAAAAAAAAAAAGAGTCAAAATACATAGAAATTAAAGATTAAAATGTTTTAACTTAAAAAAAAAAAAATTATCATTCAAGTGATCCAAAATATTAAAAAAAATTCTTGTTAGAATATGATCCTTTAGTATATGTCAGGGGTCGGAAACTCATTCGATCCCACGGGCCGAATTGTGTTATAATGATGGATCGCGGGCCGGACGAAGGCCATTAATGAAAAATTAAGGAAAATTACATATGCAGACCCCCTGTCAACCTAAATATTTAAAACCATAATGAAAATAAACATTGAGAAATCAGAAAAACAAAAGAAAATCTAAAATTAAAAAACACCTAACAAAAATTACTTTTCCTCAAGGAATGTCAAAATACTTCAAAGTAAAAAAAAAAATCAACCGAAGTGAAATGGACGAAATTATGACGTGTAGGTTTAAGACTGTTATTGAAAATTGTTCCACAAACGAACCACACACACTCACACATCAAACAAAAACAAAGCACATATACCCATACATACGAGTACAAATAGTTGCAAACATATACACTTACGGACGTACACATGCGGTATCATCCACACATTCATGAGGCATGTATGTATAATGCGCGTATGTTTAACTGTCTTCAGATTTCTACCTTGCATGTCAGTCCCTCCCTGGCCTCTTTCACTTTATCGTTCCTTTTGCTTCTGTTATCTTTTAATGTAGCCAAGGGTCATAACAAATATGTATCCATTATTTGACATTAAACGTAGGCAACGCAACTTGGTAAAATAAGACTCATGAAAGATAACTGGCAGATAGTCTAATATTTTTAGTGCACTGAGATGTGTAGACATTCTATGGAAAATGACATATAACAAATTTCATTTGAAGGTCGTCTCTCATGTTAAAAATAGAGTCATTGGTAATCAGGCTTGCGGGTTGCCGACCCTTGGTATATGTGGTCATCCATTTCAGGTGAAATATAACATATAATCAAATTAAATACAAGGTTCAGAATCCTGGGGATGTATTTTTCTATATAAACAAACTAAAGTCATGCTGTCCACATATGTTAATGGATGCATGGTGGAGCATGTGGTCATCCATTTCAGGTGAAATATAACATATATTCAAATTAAATACAAAGTTCGGAATCCTGGGGATGTATTTTTCTATATGAACAAACTAAAGGCATGCTGTCCACATATGTTAATGGATGCATGGTGGAGCAATTGTTAGAGGCTTGAGGTGATGAATTGGAGAGACGTGTTCAAATTCCAGATGAGTTCATTACATTCACTTATCTGCTAATACCCTTGGGAAAGGTATGAATCCCTCTCTTTCCTCCCATAGCTATGGGTAAAATAGCAGGATTAACTAGTCCCATAGCCTTGGGTGGAAACCAGTCTAAAAGAAGGAAACTGACTTCAAACTGGATTGCACTATCCTAAAAGTGTGTGGCTGGAGGACGACTTGTGAATTCAAATTCCCACTGAAATTCCAACTATGGATTTGCATGTCCAAATGAATACAACCTCTGCTACACTTGGTCAACTTTCATTCAGATGTGGTCAAATCATTTGACAGAGCTGGCTCAACCAACTGAGTGAGTGTTGATACAGGTATATATCAGATTGCTGCATTGATTTCTAAGTGAATACTACTGATATTTTACTTATTTCACCATCATATTCTAACATTTCTCTAAATGTCATATTTATACCTCAGCAATCAAGTAATAAATGAATTCACTTGTGTTCAAACTGCATTGATCCTAGAGGCATCAATGACCGAAAAGAAGAATTTGATGGAAAAACACAAAATACATTTTATAGTTGATTATAATATGTTACTTCTAAACCCAGTTTCTGACTTCTTCACAGGAGCCAATCTGGTTTCTTAAATACAGACAAATATCAAGGTACAGATAATGACTTAGATGAAGTGATAACACTTCACTTCAGAGTATAACTAAAAATATTGTTCTATATACAAAAACACAGCTCACAACATATTCTGCATTTTGCTTCTAAAAACTTTATTAGTCCAGCCAAATAACTTTCTGCCACATTTGTTTTACATTTTGCCAATGTACCAAGTGCAAACAGTCTTTATTCTACTGATTCTGAGATCTTATTTCCTATTATTTCAGAAGTTATAATATTGAACTGCTTTCATATCTGTAGATGTTCACAATTTACCCAATCTTGTGCAATAACATAATTTTAAAATTAAACTTTCTGGTGTATTCTATTTTATTTAAGATTCTATTTTATCTACATTTCTTTAAAAAATTTCAAATACTATATCTGTTATCACATCACAAATCCTATAACCTGTTAGAATAGTAAGGGCACTACATGTACCATAGCAACTGCGGGTGTTTCTAGGACAAGTACCCTGATAGAGCCTATCCTTCTTCAGGATGGTTTTGAATTCAGTTTTCCTTTTTCTAGACAAATTGCTGCACAAGGCTAGGAGCCAGTTTGCTCAGCTCTTAATTCCTAAGTGAAGTGAGAAATAGATTTATACCTTTCTAAGTGTATTTGTGTGAAAGCGAATGCAATTGTCTCAAGCTGGAATTTGAACTTGGCATGCCAAACTCACTTTCTGTGCCAATAACCACTACATACATATCTTGCATATATCTGTAATGTCTCTAAATAATCTAAACTTTTTTCAACTTAGCTTCCAACTATATAAAAGCAGGGTTTTCTATATACAATAGATACAAGCAATTCTTGACTCAAACAACCTTATCAATATAAAAGTGGCAGCTGTCTATGTCTAATTCACACATTATTGCCCTTGTTTCATGTTTCCAGACAATGAAATTCCTTAGGGGTGTAGTATTTATACATATTCTCTATTTCTTTTTTTTAATCATTTCACTCAAGGGTGAAAGGAACTGAGAAAATAGTATTGAGGAGAAATGACAATAAAAGAACAGGTTTCAAAAAGAGATGATGAGGATTGAGGTTGCTTTTAAATTCTTGAAGATTGTAGTTGATAGGAAAGCAAGAAGCTAGAAGAGAAGTCCACAGGTGAGAAGTGTAAGAGAAGAAATAATTAGAATATAACTTATGGTTACACTTAGCAATTCCAATAGTAAAAAGAGAAGACCTAACTGCCAATCTAGTACTGCACTGAAGTTTATGAAGATGATTTACCAAAGATGAAAGATCAGAAAAACTTTCACAAAAATAGAAAAATCTGCAATATTCTCATCTTCAGGTGAGATACAGCATTGTCCTTGGGCAGAATATAAAAAAATAGTAAGCTTAGTGATGTAATGGAATAACCTGTCACCCCCATAAGTGACCACACTATAGGTAGTAATTACCTATAAGTATCTGTAAGTCAATAGACTACAGAGACTAGCTGGGATCTATTCCAGCTAAACAGTCAAACTCTCTGCCTCTGAGGAACCTGGATGAGGCTTCGTTGAAGGGCAGAGTCTCGTTCGGGGAGGTTGACTGACCCTGAACACGTTTATACAGCTTCAAAAGGGAATATTTTTGGGCGAGCCTACAGGCTCAGAAAACCCATGTTAAACCCGGCTTTGTGCCACGTGTAACCCTGGGTGGGGTTCTAAATATTACTAGCTGGGATCTGTTGAGAACAACCGACCTTCCAATAGTAGCAGTCACTACTGAATTGACTTGTGACGACTTTGTGCATAACCGTTACATTTATTCTTATTGTACTGACTTTTTTACTATAAACCTTTACTAATTTTATCCACCTTGTTTTTCAAGTATATATTCCTATTAGCATGGAATATAACACAGTCTTGGTGATTCTAACTCTGAGGGAGATCTTCATTGATCTAAAAATGTGTATATGGGCAGGGGTGGAAGTATTCTGACAATTTTGTGCCCCTTGTTCTGAGGAATGAGCAGTCTTTGTCAGTATATACATATCATTTTATAAAAATGTATCAAACTCTACAAATTGATGACCTTGATGTGATTTTTACATTCCATTTGAATTTATTTAATGACATTGTAATAAAAAAAATATTAAAACTCACGTGTGTTCATTTTCACTTCCAGATGGTGGTATCGTCAGGCATTCATCCATGTGACCATGGAAAAGCCTCAAAACATCTCCGCCAAATACATATCCTAAAAATATACAAAAGATAATATATACATATATATATAAATACATAGAAAAAATATCTCTATATATATATATATATATATATATATATATATATATATATATATATAGCCTGAAGATTGTGCTTAAGCATCAAACAGACTATTGCCAATCACTGTTGACCTTAGTGTCCATTATATTTACCCAGGGTCCATCCCTGATATTGAGCACTTTCACAAATATAACTTACTGTTATAGACAAGCGTATGGTTGCAAGAAAGAAATACGACAATAGTAGAAATAGATTTACGTGGTTTATTTCAACAGGAACGTGAGGGTTTGGGACAGCTACCTTGTGGTAAAGTTCATAAGCCGGCTTTCGGATCTGGTCGATCTCTCATAGTAGTTCACACATGTTGACGGTGGTTGACGCTACCCTGCTGCTGATCGCTCGGCCTGACCGTCAGGTCTGTTCGCTGGCCACCTGTTGACTGACTGTTGAATTTCTGTGTGACCCCTTTTATAGCGTTTTTTTATGGCTTAACTGGCTCGAGAAACGAAGCGAGTATAATTAGGAGGGAAGCATTTTTATTGGACGAAAAATAGAGCACTTTAAATATTATTTTATTTTTCGACCGGAACACGTGTGTTGGAAACATTTGTAAAGAAAGATAATGGTCATTTTGTGACGGGGCTTTGTCCCGTTCACATCCGGTTCTCGCTCTTGAGTATTTGCCTATAAATCAGCCAAGATATGTCTTATTTTATTTTATAACATTACTTTTATAAATATAACATACCATAAAACTATATTTTATCATATATGTGTATCAAATTTGCTTTATTGAGAAGGGAAGCATGCTCTTAAGTGATACTAGTTGACTATCTGTGAAGGATCTAATCACTAATGCAGCTATTAAGTCCATTCAATGTAGCTTTACATTCATCACTAAAAATTGCTTGTTGAGAAATCAGTTTTCATGTACTTCTTTCTGCCAAACTAACATTTTTTTCTCTTTGTGATGTTGACTTAAAGGTGATGATTTGTTTACATTCATGTTTTTAGCTAAAGTTTGCTATTTTCTGCATTTGTTTCTCCAACTTTAAGTATTTTCTTGCTGGTGAATACACTTTTTCTGCTTGCTAAATTTCACCCGTAATCTCTTGGGAATTTTAAACCAAATCCTTTATTCAATCCACAGATTGTCTTCATTGTATTGTCCATCTAAGAGGACATCTTGTATGAGTTAATTCTTTCAAATTAATGTATTATTATGATGCTTCTTTTGTTTTTCCAATGAAGCAGATTAAATAACTTGAGACAGGGAATGAACTCATGATGAACAAGTAACTAGATGCACTTCCCCATTTTAATCCACGAAGCCTGTCATATAGAAATAAAATGGTAGCTGCCAACACTGAGGTTCGAGTGTGACACTGATCTTATGAATATGTTTTTTGCTAGGTGTATAAATAGTGGTGTTTGGGTATGGAGAGCAGTGGACTATGAGTTGACTATTTGTTGATTACTCTGTTGATTATGAGTTGCCTACTGGCTGACTGTTAAGTGATTCTAAAGTGACTATCAGATGTTAAGCAGATCCGTGCTACTAAGTTGGTATTCACTGAATTTGTTAATGTTTGATTGACTATGGTTGTGTTACATATTTATTTTGCAGTTTGTAATTAAATACTGTTTATTTAACATTGAAATCTTGAGTTATACTTTATCATTAATGTCCAGCCATATGGGTCACAAAAAAGACACTGACAATCGGATGGTGAAAGACTAACTGCTTGCATTGTTTTTATGGTTTTATCTTTAAATTTCTATCACTTTTACAAAGGTTGATCAAAAGTGGCATTTGTTATTTAGTTTCCTTTCTCACCCCTTCACCAGCTACAACATTGTTAATTTCAGTACTTTTAGATTTTATAATACAGTCTTTATGGATACAATGACATTTACAAAGATCAAAATACAAAGTTTCAGTGAGAATAAAAACTTACCGAGTGATTTGAGTCTGATTGCTCCAGAGCACATTGGTACTACTGTCCATAATGTTTGTTGAAAGGAAGCTATGACACTTACGCCATAGCCAATATGCTGTCAACAAAAAAAGAAAAGAAAAACAATGAGAGAAACTAAATTATTGACATTCTCTTCATTTCATCCATTATACAAGATTAATCATTTTATGTAACTGAAAATATTTGGCGGTTGAGGGATACTTTTTTTTAAATTTCTAACTTCACTATAATTAATTTATCTACCCTTATAATGCATGCACATACATATATATATATATATATATATATATATATATATGTATGTAATACCTCGGGAGCATGGTAAATTCAAGTGCATCATTTGATGACGAGATTGTTAATCACATTGCAAAAGCCAGGATTCCCTTTTGCATCATAGGTTGTGGAATGAAAGGGGAATAAAGCTTTGCACTAAAATCCAAGTGTACAAAGCTGTCATTTTATCAAATCTTTTGTATGGCTCTGAAACTTGGACACCTTATAGATGTCACATTAAATGATTAGATGTCTTCCATAAAGGCTGTCTCCATATAATCTGTGGCCTTGATGATTAAGTGTCAAATGCTGACCTTTTTGAGAAATGCAAGTTTGGTACCATTGAGACCTTCATAATATGTTGGGCTGGCCAGGTGGCAAGGATGAGTGATGATCCCATACCAAAAGTTCTTTTCTACAGTGAACTCCATAGTGGTCATAGCCCTTGGCTCATGTATAAAGATAAACTGAAGAGCAACCTTTCTTGCATCAACATTCCATTCAAGAACTTTGAAGAGGTAGCTATGAAGAGTTCAGTGTATCATTCTAGCTGCCATTCAAGAATAATGCACCATCAAGAAGTAAGCATCATTTGAGTGCATGAAACATGAAAGCAAAATAAGACAGCTAACAATATTCCTACTGCACTTGGATATAATACATTCTCCTGTACTGTTTGTGGTCTTTTGTGCTATTCTTGAGCTGGTCTCAAAAGTCATGCCTGTTATAGGCATGCAGATAATTAGTTTGTGGTCATCGGAACTTCATACATCAAACTCAATGGGAGAGTGTATATATATATATATATATATATATATATATATATATATATATGTATGTATGAATAATACAAAAGCTCTTCACTATGAATTGAGCATTCTGGTAGCTGGTAATGCTTATATCTTGTATATAATGTGTTAAAAATTTCCTTTCTTTGATGCATGTGTTGATAGCCTAAGGGTGAGAGACCCTCGACTGGTGTCAAAATTGGTTGTGTTTCAATCCCAACTTGAAGTAATCGTATGTCTAGCCACACTGATGAGCTGTGATACAGTGAAACAGTATATATATATATATATATATATATATATATATATATATATATATATATATGTGTGTGTGTGTGTGTGTGTGAATTGAAACCAAATATAGATCAAATATGGATCAGAATCTGACAATGATAGGATCAAAACAAATAGGAAAAGTTTACAAATCTAACATGTTTCCCATTTATTAAAGTTTCATCAGAAAACGAGATATAGAAAGAATTTTCTAGTATTTTAATTTTTGCTTGATTTGCGGGTGGAGGTTAAGCAAACTTCACATGCATTTGCATAGTCAAGCAGTGTTTGTGTGTATAATTTATGTGTGTAATTCTAGTTAGTCTATGTGGGGTTTGGACGATGTGTGTGTGTGTGTATATATGTGTGTGTGTGTGTGTGTGTGTCTATTAATCATTCTATGCCTTATTTATTCTAATCAATTCATCCCAAGCAAGGTGATAATGCCACTAAGATGCAAGTGGCTATTGGAGTGAAAGAGAATGAGAAGACTTTAGAAGGAACTGGAAACCCAACCCTAAACAGGAAACAAGGGATAAACATCTACTCCAGTTCAAAATACCGGGGAGAAGTGTGAGCCAGACAACAGGCTATCCTATCTATTCTTTGGATGCATTACTGTATCCCCAAGTGCAAAAACTACTGCTTTAATCCACAGTAGTGATATCATTTGTCAACTGATATCTTGTTAAGGAGACATCTGCATGATGTTACAGAAATCATTTTGACAAAGAAGGTCAACTGAGTGGAGAGGACCTCACAAGAACCAGTTCAAACAATCCTGACAAAAAAAAGGTCAGCTGAGTGGTGTGGACTAAGAATACTGATGAATGGCTATTTTTTTTAAAACAAACACTGACAGGACAAAGGCTGCTCTCCCTAGCAGCCTAAACAAGAGAAAACCCTTTGCCTGCCATGTGAAAATGAAGGCACACACTGGTTAAACTGTTCACTCCCTCACCTCACCTACTGCCAGCCATTACACAAAAGTTTTGACATAACATTTGCTGACTGCTACAATTTTGTCTCATGGTCTTTTTTTTCTTGAGTAATGAACTAGCCAAAGAATTATTTTCCCTATATTAAGCCACAAGCATTTGACTAGAAGAAGCTACATCCTGCAAATGTACTTGATGTCTGACCTGGGCCGCAACACTACACCTCTAGGCTATTGTTTTGTGGGATAATTCTGAGTGTACAACTTAGAGGCTTAGACAATCTGTCTGCTTGTTGTGCTTGACCACATTTCTTGAGGATTCTTTAGCTTTTTGTTTCTGCAGCTGAAGCCTTGCTGTCAATTTTATTTCTTTATTAACAACTCTGATATCATATTTATTTCTATGCTAGGCCTACTGAGGAGGTTTTCATAGCCTAGCATATGTGCCGATTCTTTCAGACATCCGATTCCAGTGTTGTTCTCTGTCTGGTATTTTTTACTTCATTTTGCAGCGATTGATGACTACTCTTTTCCCTCTATACATGATCAGCCACACCTGATTCCAAGGCTTCACCCTTAATTATAGCTTTTAGATATTCTGCCATCCTTTCTTTTAGCTAAAACATTGTGATAGTAACAACAAATAGGACAACAGTTCTCATGTAAATAATGATAAATTCTCATCCCAGAAATTCAGACGGAATCAACTATTTGATTGCTGCTTTATACAAGCTCATGATTTATGAACAAATTTACTCAATACATTTAAACAGGGCTTTATATACTACTGAATACATGTTCAAACATGTTTCTATCTTCACTGTTATGACACAGATGGTAGGAGATCTTATTCATCAATCAATCAATCATTATATATAACAAACTCCAGAACAAGATCAAAAAGACTTTTTTATACAATATCAAGATAGCAGTAAATGCTGGGCAATTTTCTGTTGAATTGTAAAATCATAGTATGTATCAAAAATAAATTACAGGAACTCCTTGATAAGAAAGTAAAGGAGAGCAGGAAGAAAGGACTAATCTCCAATTGTAAGAAGACAATGTATGGTTTTAAGCAAGAGAAGCAGCCAAGATATGAGCTATGAATCAAAATCAATCAAGTACAAAAGTTTAAATATCTTATGAATGTCTTAACAGAATAGAATATGTGACACTAGAGTCCAAAAGCATTTTGGAAGAGCAAAAATGCCTTCCAAAAACTAAGCAAAGTATTAGTTTGTTTTGTGGCATATCAACCTCAATGGGTTATTTAAATGCCAACAAAATTATTGGTTATATATTTTTTTCCCAAAAACTATTTCTGGTAATAATTTTCCTTCACTGGTAATCTGTTTTTCAAAAAATTTATAGCTGGTAATATTTAAAAAAAAAAAAAAAAAGAAAAAAAAAGTGTATTTCTGGTAATAATTTTTTTTTTTTACAAAGTATTTCTGGTATTAAAACCTATTTTTACACTTTCATAGTGTTTTGACTCCAGTCTGGTGGGGGTTTAACTATTTGCCATAGCTGGGACCCTAACAGGTGCTATCACCCCGGGTCAGAGTGGACCAGCAAACACCAGCAATTAAGAGGTGGTCCCACACTCCTCAAAACCTCCTGATCAGAGGCCTTGTTGTTGGACGTAGTTTTTCATCTTAAGAGCTACAAAGGATACATGATCAGCCATGCCTGCTTTCAATGTCTCAATCTTAATTATAGCTATTCAATGTTCCTTCATCCTTACTTTTAGCTAAATGATAACAAGAGGACACTTCAAGCCATGATCACCCATATCCTGATGTGATAGAGTCCATAGAAGATCCAGCACTAATTGGCTTTTTGGATCTGGCATAGATTCCATCTGGAATTTTTTTCCAAAAGATTTAATAATAGAAATATCTAATTTACCTTTTTTTTTCATTGATGTTTCTATAGAAACTTCTGAAGAAGAAAGTGCAGCCCAAATTTTAAAGAAAAGTTAATTTTTTTATTCTTACCAAGTATCTTTCAGAAGAGACACTGACAAGAATGAGATCATCACCCACTCGGACTTTCTCACCCTCTGATCTTTGTTTCGAGGCAGGATGAATTGTCCACCAACAGGATTCACCTGGAAGCAAAAGAAAGAAAAAAATATAAATTTGATTAGAGAGAATTTGAAAATGGAATGAAATAAAAAAAAAAATACCTTATTTGCAATAGTTAATAGACATATAGATCTGAACAAGCCTTGACATATACAATGCAAGTTTATCTATCTACCTCTATCTCAACTGCTGTTGCTTCTTTCTCCTGTTAACTATGGTAATTATAAAGCTTGCTACTGCTTGGCATTCAAAAAGTCTCAAACCAATGGAAGAATGAAAAGCAAAAAAAAAAACAAAAAAAAACTACTGAATCTTCCCTTATTTAGACATTTATTACCCACAATGCTATAGTCTTTGTCTATAAAAATTATCTCTTCATTTACTTGGTTTCTCTGAAGATATCACGGTAATGGTTCTTGTATTCATTTAAAAAAAAAGGAAAGAAAAAATAAGGAAGCTAGCCAAAATACCACTGAATCATTCCTTATATGGGCATTTATTACCCACAATGCTCTGGTATTTGTCTATAAAAACTCATTTAATTGACTGTACTTGCAACAGCTAATAAATAGACATATGGATCTGAACATGTCTTGATATATACACTGCAAGAATATATATCTATCAGGATACATAAGAGTGTCTCATCTCTCAAACTTGTGACTGTGTGTCAAAACTCAGCTAAGCCTATGTAGTTAGTGGTTTAAATAAAGTGAACAAGAATGAAGAACTGCACGTACTTACCAATTCTTGTCACAGAAATGAGCTAGAGGGAAATTAATATCTGGACTGTAAGGTTTGACTCCTTTTACCAATTCCTGATCACACTTATGTCTCTTTTTCTCTCCTACTTCTCTCATAATTGTTGCTGCTGCTTATTAACTCTGACAATCACAAAGCTTCTTTCTGCCTAGCATTTCAAAGTTAATCAATGCCAATGTAACAAAAGAAAAAAAAAACGAAGTCAGCCCAAACATAATCCTTATATAGATATTTATTACCCAAAATTCTCTGGTCTTTGTTTATAAAAAAAAAATCTTATTTACTCAGTTTCTTTGAAGGTAAGTGGCACTTCTTTTGCTATTCCTTTATTTAAACCACAGGTTAGCAAATAACAAGAGACAAATTTGTTCGTTGGGGCAAAAGATGGCTTGTTAATTTTAACACCTCCAAAATTAAATATCTCTCCATTAATCATCTGAGAGACTCCTCATGGCCTTCCATCAGCATAGCTGATGTTGGAAAGACTATATTGAACCCATTACAAGTTGATCTACTAAGTTGCTTCACTGTTTCATGCAAGACAATTTTTCTCTCCAGAATCTATCATACATATCTATAAGTCTAACATTCATCCATACTTAAAATATTGCTGCCACATATGGTTCAGTGCCCCGGCTATTTACCTTGAGCTTCTTGATAAAATCCAAAGAAAAATCAACAATATTATCAGTCCTTATCTGGCAGCTCAGCTTCAGTCATTTTCCCCCTGCTGTAAGGTTGTCTGTGTCTTTTCTATAAATACTTTTATGGTAATTGTTCGAATAAGCTCTTCTTATGGTGCCTAGACTTTTTGAATTTAAGGGCAGTACTAGACTGGCATTGAAATCTCATCAATTTATAGCTGAGCTGGTTAGATGTAGCTGTAAATTCTATGCTAAGTTTCTTTTCTCGCACTTCTCACTTGTGGAACTCTTCTGGCTCCATGCTTTCCAGTCAACTTTAATGTTCACAATTTTAAATGCAATGTCAATCATTATCTACTGTCCTCCTGATTACTCTTCTTTTGTTTTTGCTCCTTAAATAATGTTTCTGTTTTCTAATACTTCCACATCCAGTAACTCCTTGTGTTTTGTGGCTTTACTGCCTTGCTTGGGGTGAAATTGATTAAAAGAATAATCTACAAATAGATATACATAGGAAAATAAACAGTTATAATTCAAGATAGACATCATCATAGCTTTACTTCACAAAGTAAGATTTAGGGGGACTTTTTACAATTATTATAAGCCATCCCACATCATGTAGCAGACAGCTGGAATAGTCCTTAGGTCTGCTAGTGAAGTTTTTAGGTCGAGATCATATATATATTACTAACTTTATCCTTTAAAACAATAATTCACAAGCTATGTCTCAGATGGGCATGACACTGGCAATAAGTTCTTCTGGTTGTAGTTTTTTTTGTTGGCATTTCATTCTCTTTAGTGGGTGACTATTCAAGTTTTAGGGATTTGCCACTTCACTAAAGGAGCATATTGACAACATGGTTTAATCTGAGTACAAACCTCACTGCAAAAGATAATTATTTATCTATGTATTTATTCTTGTTTACTATTAAATCCTGCACCCCACCCAACCTTGTGCTCCTTTGTCAGTTTTCCCATTCTCATCATATTAGAACTCAGTCGATAATAGCCAATTTATTGCTATGATATAAAGTTGTTTTATGAGTTAGACAGGTAATTATACTATGAAATGCTGAAAAGTTATCAGCTTCCCATAATCTGACTAAAAATGAGATTTTTTTCCCCCGTTATTTAACAGCTTCTTTGTTGGGCTGAGAACTTTTATATAAGGTTGTTTATAAAGTTGTTTATTATTATAATATATAAAGTTGTTTATATTATTGTTTATATTGTTCTTTTTTATAAAGTTGTTTTATGAGTTAGACAGGTGATTATACTATGAAATGCTGAAAAGTTATCAGCTTCTCGCTTCCCATAATCTGACTAAAAATGAGATTTTTTTCCTGTTATTTAACCGCTTCTTTGTAGGGCTGAAAACTTTTCAATACCATCTTATATATAACAGTATGATTTATATTTGGTTACCAAGTTGACTAAAGAATTACTGGATTTACATTGAAATTCTGATTTTTGAAGGAGAGTTGTCCCATTCTATTGTTCTGACTAAAATAATTATGTCCCCAATTTTAACATATCTGCCTGGAGCCTCATAGAAAATAAGACCTCCACAGGACATTTTCACACTGCCTGTCAACAGTTGCTGCTTACATATCATCCCAGGATTGTCAGCCCATTGCTTTTCCTCATCTCCTCCTCCTCCATAGTCCTTCACCATGCTGTTCTTGGAGTTCCTGTTCTCCTTTGGGGAAGGAGGTGCAGATCAGCGCCATATTGTGGTCAATGTTTGGATCTTGCCTTAGTGTTGCCAATGAACCTTCATCTTTTTCACCATGCCTTAGCACTAAGGGATTCTATGGAGGCACATTAGAGCAGTTCTACCATTTTCACATGGTTTTACCTAATCTTGAGTTATTGTTATAAAATAGGTTAATATGCTTGTTGTCTCCCAGATTGATTTTCCAGGTCTTTCAAACATAATAGGACAGGGACAACCAAGGTCTTATAAAAGCAGATTTTGATGTCTTAACATATCTTGGTCACATTTCACACCTGCTTCAACCAAACAAAAGCAGCCCTATTCTTTGTCACTCTAGCCTAGATTTCTGTCATTTTTATATGCTCTTGTCATCTAATCTTGAAGAGCTTTCTGAAGCCATTGCTATGAATTAGGTTACTAAGTTAGTTATCTGATGCATTTTCCAAGAGAGGACCTTAAACTGTTGAAAGCCATATTTTTTATAATTGTATGTTGAAATGTAATACTATAATATATAAAAGGAAGTTGAAATGTTCTCAGCCTTACTAAGATGGGATTAAAAAAATTGATCATTAGATTTTGGAAAGAGGTATGGGGGAGCTCTTTTCAGCATTTTCTTCTAAATACTTTTATAAAAGTGTAATAATAGTTCTATAAAATAACACTAAAATAATATTATAAAAAAATAGAAGATATAAGGCAAAATCATTCACATAAAAATGAGAAATATTTTTTTCTTTACAATTGTTAGTAAACAATAATAATTTATTGTTCACCCAGTGCAAATCCTAAGAGCGACACAAGGTAGAAGGTTACTGAATGATATTGTTGTAAGGGCAGGAGGTAAGCAATGAATATTATGATTGAATATTAGAAACAAAGCATATTGATTTACACTATTTACTGTTGTCCTTATCTTTATTGTCATATTTGCAACATTTTGGCCATTGCATGCTTCGGCCTTCTTCAGGTGATATACATTGGAGTTTCAAACCGAACCCTTTATTTAATCCACTGGGGCAGATTGTTCTAGTTCCAAATGCCACACATTTTCTGGATATCTTAGTTTCAGTTATTTCCTTTTAGAAACTCAACTCTCCAAGTTTTTGTTCCCCTCTGCTGTGGCCAGGTATTGAACTCACAACTCTTTGGGTTGAATCATTGGATTACTTTAACTAACACTTTTATTCCCTGGACCATGTGTCCCCAGAAAGAATCAATTTAAATTAGTTTTGAAATACAGCCAAGTATTTTGCTTATTGGAAATATTAAATTTAATCGATTAGCTTGAAATTAAAATTAAAATAAAGGCTTCCAGAAAGATATTACTTTTTTTTAAATTAATTTTAAACATTAGGTATCATGTTTCTTTGTATTTACATGTGTAGTTACCTTCCCCATATATCCCCAGAAACTATGCATCTTACTCTGTAAATGTCTATCTTGAGTATCTCTTGGATCTTGTAGATAATAAAATCATTGTAAAAAAAAAAAAAAAAAAAAAATATTAAGCAAAGGTCAAATTTTACTCCAACCCACTGTTGCTTTAGTTAATAGTCTTCATTTTATATTGATTAGGGGACTCATTACCATTCTTCCTCATACTCTAAAAATGTAGAGAGCACCAAAACTGTCCACATATTTATTATTCATTCCTGTTATAGTATTATTTCTTTCACTCACCTTCTGCTGCTCCAATGTAATAATTACTCTCATCTTTATCTGTAATTGTTGATTATTCATACCAATATAAACAGATATTTTGTGGTCAAAAGCATAATAATCACTTTGTGTTACTTTAGAAAACTGTATTTCCTATCATATAACATGAACGTGTGATTTGGTAAAGAATATTTTAAAAAAACTAAAATTGTAATTATAACTCTTGTGAATAAATGTTTGTATTTATTTATTTTTAACTTACCAGTATTTTAATAATTTCATAACTTACAATTACAGATATTTCATTTTAGTTGAGATGGAAACAAAACCATAATGATGTGAACTGGTGTATTAAACAGCAGTATTTAGGTATTAAATCCTACCCAAACCCATACTAATGAGGTCTAGAAGTCAAGGAGATTTTTGTAAAAAGAAATCACATTATATGTTAGGAAATACAGTAATTTAAAAAGAAATTAAAGAAATTTATAAAAAAAATTATTATTATTAATAATAATAATACCATGATTCAATTCCTACCTGTTTCTCTATTGACCTATACTAACAAATAGAGCACATACAATGAAGAAATTCAGTCATAGTAAAATCTAAGAACCTTTTGGTATTTACTAGTGTCATAGTAAAATTACTCCCATTTAAATAAATTTTAAAAGAAATTTAAATAAATTAACTTATCCAAAAGCAGATAAGTAACAGAATATTTTGAAACAGAACAAGCTCAAAAACAAGGAAAAAATAGCATTTAAAGAAAAATACATTAAAGAAAACTGACAACATAAGACATTTGCAACTGATAAAAGAATAATTTGAAAAATCATTGTACAAACAATCGCTAAAGCAGCCAACACAAAATAGCATCAATATTGAACATAAATCATTAAAATACATGTTGTTAGAATATATGACAAAAGGAAAACTTTTTACCAACATGTTTTGTTCTCTGATGGACTTTATCAAGGAATATGTAAGGTTTTTATTTTGCAGCAAGTATTTATAAACAAAAGCAAAAAAAATATTGTTACGTTTTCAAAATTTTTTAATATAAGAAATATTCTTCAAGCTAAACTATGGAGGATGCTAAGTGATGTAATTTAATGCTTGATTAATGGAAGTGAGTAAATGTTGAATTTTTTTGTGTTCATATATATATATATATATATGAAGAAAAATATATACGGAAAAAAACAAACAAAAATCCTTACATGCAATTATGCTGTTTTAATGTTAATATGTCAACGTCGGACGTTTCAGTCTAATAAACCATCTTCAGGACATATTCATAAAATATAATTAACATTATCAATTCAACATGACAAAGACGATGTACATAACAAGACTTATCCAAACAGTTAAATGAAAGTTTTATAAGATCAGCGCTCTGTTTAAACATGGTCACATTGTCATGTTGAATTGATAATGTTAATTATATTTTATGAATATGTCCTGAAGATGGTTTATTAGACCGAAACATCCGATGTTGACATATTAACATTAAAACAGCATAATTGTATATAAGGATTTTTGTTTGTTTTTTTTCCGTATATATTTTCTTCATACTGTCAGATATATATAT